CTGATTAGAAAGCACAGTGTTGTTGGGGCACTTGGGTGGCTCAGTCAGTTGAGTGTCTGACTCTTGATATCAGCTCAGGTCATGATTTCATGGTTTGTGAGATTGAGCCCCTCATTGGCCTCTGTGCTTTTAGCACTGAGCCTGCTTGGAATCCTCTTTTTCACCCTCTCTCAGTCCCTCCCCTGCTCACATTCCCTCTCTCTCTCTGTCCCTCCTCTAGTTGTGCATGCATGAATGCATGCTGTCTTTCAAAATAAATAAACATTAAAAAATTAAACAACAAAAGAAAGTACAGTATTGCTAAAAAGTGTGTCATATCAAATAAGGCTTAATATAAAATTTTTCTTGAGTTCATCTCTTACTCTGAATAAGCATGATGGGAATTTTGATTGAAACTGTTTTTTACTGCTGTCCCTCAGAAATCGTGTCCGTGTCCAGCTATTATTAAGAGAACTGTGGCCATAGGTACCCTCTCATTCCAGAGGTGGGAATGGTGTTTTCTGTGTACTTTCTTATACATACTGGTGTCTTGATGCATTATCCAACAACGAGGTTTTCAATCTTGGCTCTTTTTTAAAGCAAAACCTCATTCTGTCCTGGAACTGCCAAATGGGGGCATTGACACACTGTTGTTTGAACACCCCACTGTGTTCCTTTGCATGCCTTCTACAGAAACATTGGTGCTCTATCAGTTAAATAATAGGCTTGTGGAAAATGCATCCCCCTAAGTGTGCATTTTCTTTACGATTTAGCCTATCTTTTTTGCAGAAAATATATTCATTTCCTTGGTTGTAAAGAACATGGATTGTGTCTGTGATTGAATGGCAGCCCTGGCCCCTCATGCCAGTGACCAGGGCCTAGATATAGCAGGAAGTAGTTTCCACAGAAACCTTGTATTCTTCCTTTGTCCCTGTACCTTCTAGGACCAACTCTACTCCCGTGTCAGTGACAATGTGCTAAGAGTTGGTATGAGGGAAAACACCTGCAGGTGTCCTTGGTGAGCTTCAAGAACACAGAGGAGTTTGGCCTGTGCATGTGTGGGAGGAGTGGGGAGGCTATCTACTGATGATGCGAGAAGGTCGCTTTTCTGAAGTCCCCTTTGAAGGTACTGCCTGGTGTAGGCTGGGCCCATACTCTAGTTCTAGAAACCTCCAAGGCCTCCCCTTTTGTGTGTTGCTCAGACTCCAGGACTAAGTCTGTCCTACTGTGATCCTAACATGGGGTATTCTGGCCAGCATGGATGATGATGAGGCCATCCTTAACGCATCAAAAAGATAAGTTTGAAAACCAGTGGCTTAAACTTGGACTGTCTCTCTGAATCAAACAGCAAGGAAACCCAATTCATAAAATGGAATATACCACATTTCAAATTTAATACATTAATATTTCTTATAAGGCTTTTTATAAGAAAAAAGGATATAGAAAATGTTGCTGAAACCAATACCATTCCTTTTTCTAAATCTTTCACATTTCTATATACCAATAATGAAGCAACAGAAAGAGAAGTTAAGGAATCTATCCCATTTACAATTACACAAAAAACAATAAGATACCTAAGAATAAACCTAACCAAAGAGGTGAAAGATCTGTACACTGAAAATTATAAAACACTAATAAAAGAAATTGAAGGAGTACCTAGGTGGCTTAGTTGGTTAAGTGCCCAACTCTTGATTTCAGCTCAGGATGATCTCATGGTTCTTGGGATCGAGCTGTGCCTTGGACTCTGTGCTGACAGTGTGGAGCCTTCTTGGGATTCTCTCTCCCACTCTCTCTGCCCCTCTCCTGCTTGTGTTTTCACAGATGCTTTCTCTATATAAATATCTCAAAATAAATAAATAAACATTAAAAAAATTGGGGCACCTGGGTGGCTCGGTCAGTTAAGCGTTCGACTCCTTGTTTTGCCTCAGGTCATGATCTCACAGTTTGTGAGTCCAAGGCCTCCATCATGCTGTGCACTGACAGTGCAGAGCCTGCTTGGGATTCTCTCTCTCCCCGTCTCTGTGCCCTTCCCCTGTTCATGCTCTCTCTCTCAAATAAATAAAACTTAAAAAAAAAAAAAAAAAAAAAACCAAAACAAAAAACTGAAGATGACACAAAGAAATGGAAAAACATTCCATGCTCATGTACAGAAAGAACAAATGTTGTTAAAATGTCTATACTACCCAAAGCAATCTACACATTTAATGCAATCTCTGTAAAAATACCAACATTTTTTGCAGAGCTAGAATAAACAATCCTAACATTTGTATGGAACCACAAAAGATTCCAAATAGCCAAAGAAATCTTGAAAAAGAAAAGCAAAGCTGGAAGCATCACCATTCTAGATTTCAAATCATATGACAAAGCTGTAGTGATCAAGACGGTATGGCTCTGGCACAAAAGCAGACACATAGATCAATGGAACAGAATAGAGAAGCCAGAAATAAATCTGCAGCTTAATCTCTGACAAACCAGGAAAGAATATCCAATGGATAAAGACAGTCTCTTCAACTAATGGTGTTGGGAAAATTCAACAGCAAAATGCAGAAGAATGAAACTGGACCACTTTGTTATACCTTACACAGAAATAAATGCAAAATGGATGCAAGACCTAAACGTGAGACAAGAAGCCATTAAAATCCTAGTGGAGAACACAGGCACTAACCTCTTTGATATCAACTGTAGAAACTTCTTACTAGATATGTCTCCTGAGGCAAGGGGGAAAAAAAGCAAAAATACACTATTGGGATTTCATCAAGATAACCTTCTGCACAGCAAAGGAAACAGTCAACAAAACTAAAAGGCAGCCTATGGAATGGGAGAAGATATTTACAGTGACATATCTGATAAAGGATATCTGTCCAAAATATATAAGAACTTACAAAACACAACACCCCCAAAAAACTCCAATTAAAAAGTGGGTAGAAGACATTAAGAGACCATTTTCTAAAGAAGACATACAGGTGGCAAACAGACACATGAAAAGATGCTTAACGTCACTAGTCATCAGGGAAATACAAATTAAGACTACAATGAGATATCACCTGAACACCTGTCAGAATGGCTAAAATCAGTAACATAAGAAACAACCGGTGTTGGTGAGGATGTGGGGAAAGGGGAACATTCCTGCAGTATTGGTGGGAATGTAAACTGGTGCAGCCAATGTGGAAAATAGTATGGAGATTCCTCAAAAAGTTAAAAAAAAGACCTGTCCTACAATCCAGCAATTGTACTACTAGGCATTTACCCAAAGAATACAAAAATACTAATTAAAGGGATATTTCAGCATTATCTACAATAGCCAAACTGTGGGAACAATCCACATGTCTGTCAGTTGATTAATGAATAAAGAAGGGGTAGAATATATATACAATGGAATATTACCCATCCATAAAAAAGAATGAAATATGTCATTTCATGAAATGAATGGAGCTAGAGAGTATTATAATCAAATTAAGTCAGAGAAAGACAAATAACTTATAATTTGACTTGTGTGGAATTTAAGAAACAAAACAAATGAACATAGGATAGAAAAAATAAAAACAGAGAGAGGCAAACTAAGAACCAAACTCATAACTATAGGAACAAACTGATGGTCACCAGAGGGGAGGAGGATGGGGTGATAGACTAAACAGGTGATGAGGATTAAGGAGTGCACTTGTGATGAGCACTGTGTGTTGTAGGGAATTGTTGAGTCACTATATTGTACACCTGAAACTAACATACTCGTTGTTAACTGGAATTTAAATAAAAACTTAAAGAAAAGGATTTGTGTATTTGTGACAACACAAGGTACTGATGAGGACCAGTGTTCTCTATGATGAGCAAGAAGTGGGTAAACCATCTAACAGCCTTCCCTGGCCAACTTCTAACTCCGCCTCACTGTTCCCAGGTCTGCCCTCTCAAGCTGTGGTCCATCCTTGTGATGAAAACAAGCCTGCAGTGCTGACACCAATTCTGATGTGTGGGTTTTTCCTACACATCAAACAATTCTGTGACACTAGCTGGGTGTCCTGTAATTTAATACAATTCTGACACTACTTGGAGATAGTGTCAGGTCCCACAGGTTAAGGGCTCAAGCCCACAAGACTTCCTCACTTCAGATGCCAATTACAAGTCCAGGTTGTCACCTTTACTTAGGACTGATCTGCTATAAAGCACAGTTTCCCACAATCCTCTTTTCAGGTTCAATTAGTTTGCTAGAGCATATCACAGAACTCAGAAAACAATTTCCTTACTGTTTACCAGTTCATTACAAAACAATATGATAAAGGATACAGATGAACAGCCAGATGGAAGAGATGCATAGAGCAAGGTCTGTGGGAAGGGGTGCAGAGCTTCCATGCCCTGTCTGAGCACATCGCTCTTCCAGCACCTCCATGTGTTTGCCAAACCAGAAGTTCTCCAAACCCCAACTGTTGGGATTTTTTGGAAGCTTCATCATATAGGCATCATCAGTGATTAACTTAATTTCCAGCCCTTCTCCACCCTTTAGAGAATGGGGTGTAAGGTTGAAAATTTTAAGCTTCTAATCATGGCTTGGTCTTTCTGGTGACTAAAACCCATCCAGAGGTCCCCCCAAAGTGGCTTCGTTAAAAGAAAAGACATTCCTATCACCCAGGAAGTTAAAAGTGATTTAGTATCCTGTGCCAGGAAAAACTGGAATCAGAGACCAAATATTAGAACAAAAGATGCTTCTAGTGCTCTAATAATTTCCTAAGTGATAAAGAAATTATAAGAGTTTTAGGCACCCTATGCTGGGAACTGAGGTCAAAGACTAAGTGCTAGATCCTCCCAAGACCCCTATTTACCAGGGTTTTAGGAGTCCTGCCTAGTTACTAGTGAGCACCAGCTCCCTCATGGCTCTTGCAGAGATCCACTTAGACAAGCCACTCACTCTTGGAGTTCCCCATGGCCCTTCCAAGCCTAGTGTCCAGGCCTTCCTTCCCCAAGGTAGTGCTCCCTGAGACGCGAGGTGCTTGGAAGCATCCATGTGATGCATGCTATCTTTTCCTCGACAGCATACATGACAATGGGAAAAAGGCTGGGCTATATAAAGAAAACCTGCTGTTGCGAGGGTGCACCATCAGAAACACAGAAGCTGTTGTTGGCATCGTCATCTATGCAGGTAGGCATGGCCATGGCACAGGTGGTCTGTGACCATGCTTGCTGCCTCTACTGTATGTTCTTGAACGTTGATCCTTGTTTTGTTTTGTTTTTTATAAAAACAGCATGTATCCATTGTAAACATTTAGAAAAACAGGAAAATAGAAAGAAGTGAAATTTCTAATAGTATCTTAACCGAAAGTGTTCTCTCTCGGCATTTTAGCTTATTTCTTTCCATTGTTTCTCCATGGTGGTTACAGATTTAAGATTAATTCTATACCCTGCTTTTTCGACTGAGCTTACCCTGTAAGTATGATTGTATGGCAGCACTGTACTTCAGTCCAACAGTCAGGGAGCTCCATCACTTCACTATTGGGCATTGATTTACCATGCCCCTCGTGCTCCCCTGCAGGACATGAAACCAAGGCTCTGCTGAACAACAGCGGGCCCCGCTACAAGCGCAGCCAACTTGAGAGGCAAATGAACTGCGACGTGCTCTGGTGTGTCCTCCTCCTCGTTTGTATGTCTCTGTTTTCTGCGGTCGGTAAGTCTCCTTTACTGGTCACCAATAAGAGGGCACTGCTGGACAGCCTCCAGGTGAGCCTGGTGGGCTGCTGACAACTCATTCTGATGCAGCACTCTAAAGTTAAAACACACATTTTTCATCCACTTAGACTCAAAGGCTGTTTGCATCCACACCGGCCCGATTAGAGATGTCTAGATGAATGATCTTGATAAAGTGATACTATTTTTCAAATTTATAGCTTCTTGGGTGGAAGGATGGTTTAATCACACTAATAGTAATGATTCTGGTAGAAGAAGCATTAGTAACCTGGTGATAACAGAATAATATAGCAGGAGATGAACAAATGCCACTAATGGGAACTCCATAAGAAGGGGGAAAAATAGTATTTGGGTGCTGAGAAAGGGTTAGCGGTTAGATTATACCCAGGCTCTGGTGCTCTCCAGCCTTTGATGGCCTCCAGACCTGCCATGCTGCCTTTACCTCTGGGTAAATGGTCTTCACCACATCTCCTGCTTCCATCATGAAGCAGACAGGTGTGATGTGGTCATGGAGCTCAGTGGTAAAAGACATAGGTGTATGGGCCATGAAAAGGGTTTCTGTTATCAGATAGGTATGGAACCCAGTTAATGAAATAATGTGCATTTCCATTGGCTTCTGGGAGTCTATGATATGTGCATTTTGAATCTGTAGCAAAGGTTAATAATGGAAAGTATCCCGGGCCAAATTACAAGACTGGTGTTTTGTGAGCCACATGTTGGGAAAATCTTTTTGGGGATTTCCCATTGATAGCTGCCAGCACATATCCAGTTTCTGCCTTATGCTTTTCAGTGTCAGCAATGGGAAACGTCTGATATGAGGAAGATATGCTTTCTAGCAGTCTGATTGTTGGTGCCAACAGTTCCAGCAATGTGTTTTTGCCTTTTTATGTGGCAAGGCAGGCTAATGAGGCCAAATGTGCCTATGTCAATAGTCTTGAAGTTTTGCTTTCATTTGTACTAGCAATGTCCTATTTTAACATTGGATGAATGACATTTCTTTTTGAACATTGCTATAGGACACGGACTGTGGGTACGACGGTATCAAGAGAAGAAATCATTATTTGATGTCCCTGAGTCTGATGGCAGCTCTTTATCCCCAGTCACAGCTGCAGTTTACTCGTTTTTGACAATGATAATAGTTCTGCAGGTAACAGTACTAAGTACCATACGATAATTGCTTTACTTTTCTGGTAAAAACTTGAAGTCATCATACTCTGCTGATAATTTCCTTATAAATTTTGCATCTGGGAGGATCACAAGTATACCTGCCTAATGTGTTACATCTTTTCCACCTAATTTTTCTATGGGGTCTTTTTGGGTGCTTTTCAAGTTAACTTTCTCCATTGCTGTTCCTAAAACTTTGGGCTTTAGGGGGTTGGTTTTTTGATAATTGTGTTTGTTTTACTTTTCCATTCAATTACTTCTTAAACCCTGAAAATATTATTTTGGAATAATTTTAAGACTTAAAGACAAGTTACAAAAAAGTAGTACAGAGAGTTTCCATGTGTTCCTTACCCAGATTCCCCTGATATGAACATGATTCATTACCATGGTACATTGTCTAAAGCAAGAAACCAACTTTGTACTTTGCCATGAACTAAATATTAGACATCTTTCAGGTTCTACTAGTCTTTCCACTAATGTGCTTTATCTGTTCCAGGATTCAATTCAGGATATCACATTGCATTTTGCAGCATTGGTTTTTATTATCCTTATTACTGTTAGCATTAGTATTATTAGTTCACATGCCTGGTGAACAGCTTCTTGTCACTAAGAATCTATACCCAAAAGGCCTGTTTAAGAGTGAGGAAGGGGCAGTGAGTGACATCTTAGGAACGCAAAGTGAACAGAAGACATTTGCTTAACCTTTGCCTATGAGGAGAGCTCTGCTGTCTTTTATCACATGTGTTCATAAAACAGAAACAGACTTATTTAACTTTCCAAATTAGTCTTTTAGTCTGGTTAGTTCAATACTGTTACTCAAAAAAACTTTTTAACCTTGATTTCATAAAGATTGTTCTTAAATTGTCAATGTATAACTGTGAATATTCTTCTCAAAGCCTTATTTCCTTTGCTCCGTATCGTACAAGATCACAGAAATTGTCCCTCAACACAACCAGCCTCTGGAAAGACTGTCTCTTCTGAACTGTGGGGTTGTATCCACGGGATGGGCAGCTCCTTGTTGCCAGGAGCCCTGGGAGAGCCTGGGGGCCAATTGCCACTGTGGTGCAAGGTGACTTTGCTTATGAGGACTCTGACTGTGCCATGTGTTTTTTGTTTTTTGTTTTCCCTCCCTCTCTCTTCTCTTTCCTTTCCTAGCTTCTCTCAAGCACAACTTAGTAATACGAAAATGCTTGCTTCTATCCAAGCCATGGTTACCATTCTTCCAGACACGATAGTGGATTTCCGCTCTGCAGTGACACCATAGGCTGTCCTAGTTTAAACTCTTTGCCAATCCTAATACTTTTCCATTACTGACTCTAAACCAACCTGGTTAAGCCCTTAAAGGTACAGTATAGTCCCTACTTACTTGTGGTTGTAGTCATTTGAATAGATTGGACTAGTTCTAAGCTCCCTGGTCCTCACAGTTGTTCATCTGTATGCTTTATGTCTTCTAGGTTTTGATCCCAATTTCCTTATATGTTTCCATTGAAATTGTTAAAGTATGCCAAGTGTACTTCATTAATCAAGATACAGAGTTGTACGATGAAGAAACAGACTCACAGCTGCAGTGTCGAGCTCTGAACATCACAGAAGACTTAGGGCAGATACAGTATATCTTCTCAGATAAAACTGGCACTTTAACTGAGAATAAGATGGTTTTTCGAAGATGCACTGTGTCTGGCATAGAATATTCCCATGATGCAAATGGTGAGTCTGGAGGTAGGAATTCCTAGTCTTGGCTGGAGAGGTAGCTGCTATAGAAAAGCTGCATGCACATGTGCCTGTGTGCACATACATGCACACGTGAACATGCACAAACACATACACACACACACACACACACTAAGCTTCAGGGATTGCTGATTTATGAGAGATAATAAAACATAGAAAAGCTGTTAGAACAACCAGAAGACTGAAGTTTGGCAACATTTATAGAAGCAAATACAGAATTCCACATTGCTGACAGTGCCCTAGTCACTGCAGTGTCTTAGTGTGGTGGGCATCTGCTTTCACACCTGTTTTCTGTCAGACAAGAGAACCAAGAAGGGCATTCTTGAGGAACTCCCTTCTGAGGTACGCAGTCTCTTTGCCATGGCAAGAATGAAGAGATGTTTTCGTTGTCACCCATCGATCTTCTTGTTATTAGCTAAAAATTCTCAGAATGGCATTGGGTAATTCTATAGTCTTCCCCTTAGAAAATGCTATAGTCTTCCCCTTAGAAAATGATGTTCATGGAAGCTGGAAAAAAATGTTACTCCTGTTTGAAGTTTACAGGAGGTTACTCCTCCCACTTCTCCTTTCCTTATCCTTTGCTGCCTCTGTCTTACCTGAACTTATAGGAGAGCTCTCCACTTCATAAGTTGAGGATGTGACTAGAACCAGCCACCCACCTGAGCCAGGAAAGGACACCATAAGAAGGGTTCCTGTGCCACACTAGTGTTTGTAGAGCCATGGAGCCTCTGAGAGGCACCATCAGCTCTGCAACCAGAACTCCTTCTGCTTCCTATAACAGCTTCTAAGAACATGAAAGAAGTCTTGCCACAGGAACAGTAGCAAATACAGAACAGCAGTCAGTATGTGGGCATCATTAGGAAACTTCTTTATGAGAGTATATGATAGCAAAGATCTCTAGAAAGCATGGGACTTTTGTGAGTTTCATAAAACAAAGAATTACGATATCCACTAATATAATTAGCAGATATCATAATTAGCCCTTTATATAAAATTAATTATATTAAACAGAAGACATACAAACTCATACACTACATATGGGGCGCCTGGGTGGCTCAGTCACTTAAGCTTCCAACTTCGGCTCAGGTCATGATCTCACAGTTCGTGGGTTCGAGCCCCACGTCAGGCTCTGTTCTGACAGCTCAGCTCAGAGCCTGGAGCCTGTTTCAAATTCTGTGTCTCCCTCTCTCTCTGACCCTCCCCTGCTCATGCTGTTTCTCTCTCTCTCTCAGAAATAAATTTTTAAAAATTTAAAAAAAAAAAAAAAAACTTATACACTACATTTAACACTTTATTTGCCATCCAAAGTAAACGATCAGTGACTGTGCCCACCTATCCCCTTGCACTCTACCCTCCTGAAGGCAGAGTTCAGCCTAGTTGTAAAGGAGCCAGAGACCCAGGTCTGAAGTCAGGTCACAGCTGGACCTGAGGCTCCATAGGCAGAATCCCAACTAAGATTACAGAAAATAGATGCTTATTATAAAACCAAAGGATTGCACTGCCTCTGGAGATACAGGAAAGCATTTCTCGTAAAGACTAAAACAACCAGGCCTCTCTACTGCATGTTTGAAAGAAATTCTGTGATCAGTCATTGTCACACACCTGGGGCCAAGAGCATCTTTAGCTGTTACTTCATGTCGTCTGACCTTTCAGATCTCATTAGTAAAATGAATTCAGATGGCTTTGGCTTTGTGTGATGAGCCCAGTTCACATATATCTGAACCAGCCATGGAGACTATTAGTATGGCCCTCTGACTTCCTGTTCTGGTGACATTGTGTGCCCAGAATGAGGCATCACCTGCTCCTTGCCTTTATCTTCCCCAGGGACTTTGAGGGCATTGCTCAGGCCACTGTTGGTCAGAAACTGCTGCATCACTGTAGACCACAGTCACTTACTTCAACAGTGGTCTGAGGGATGGCTACATTTAGGCTAACATCTGACTACTTTCTCAGGAGACTAGGACAGGCAGATGTCTCCTTTGAGAGGGTGATACCAAGCTCCTAATGTGCAAGCCTAGAAGCTTGACAGCACTGCGTCCAGGCTTTGTTCTTCCTTGCTCTTCATTCACCACCAAACTGGGACTTGTGTCAGCAGGAGTGGGTGGGACGTGCAGGAGGAGATTTGTTTCTGGAGTGAGGAGCTCCCTGAGTGGGATCCTGGCGTTGCAATTGCTGAGCCTTGTGACCATGATTGGCTTATCTTGCCTTATCTCTGTTTTTCTCATCCCCAAAGAAAAATCTTACTAAAGAAAGATGCTAAATATAAGGCCTCGTTCACAGGACACACCAATGCCACAGGCATACCCAGATTGGAAGGCCCTTCTTTGTTCCTTATGCAGGCCAAATTGTGTTAAGATACCTTGTGCTCACACTCAGCACTGGACTTGCCCTTGAAGTTCTTAGTAATTGCTTGTCTTGAATGAATCATCCTCATGAATAGCCTCCTTGCTCATCTATGATGAAACAAGCTGAACTAAAACTGGGCAAAGTCAGAAAAAAATGTGTTTAGAGCCATTCGTTAGCAAGAAACAGCACAGATGTACTTCATATGATTCACTGAGTGGCCACATGGCCACACAGATTTTTGCTGGCAATGTTCTGCTAAGGTCTCCAGCATAACAGTGCAGTCAAGGTCATCTTCAATGGATCTTTGCCTCCTGGGTCTATACCCTGGTGGCATTTATCTACTCTGTGCAACCCCACAAGGACCGTTAGCCTCTCTGTTGGGTAGAGCTTCATCCATACAGGGTGAATGCAGATAATACGCACTCCCTACCTGACCCTAGACAAGGAGCATGGGAAAGCACCATCAGCACAGACTGAGAACCATTATTTTTGTGTGATTGGAGGGCAGATGTTCAACTTGTGATCTGTCCTGACAGCCCTTGTGAGTCAGGTGGCCTCATGACCTTGGGATAAAAGGCAAAGCCTGGAACCTGGCTACCCCATGGGTGAGGCCTTACTGCCCTGCCTTTGTCCCCACTGTCTGCTGCTCAAACTGCATTTATCACACCTAAGGTCCTGAATAGAGGGGCTGTATGTGAATCTATCTCTGTCCACACCTTACTTGTCTATGAAGCTGGATGGCCACTGTGCCAAAATGCATAGGAACTGAGCTTTGGCATTATGTTGACCTGGGTGTCCTCTCCACTCTCCTGAGTCTTGTGTACTTAGCAAGGTCCTTAAGTTTTCTGAGCCACAGTCTACTCATCTGTGCAGTGGGGATGAGAATATCAACCTCATGAGGTTGACTATAGGTGCAGATAAAGCCTCCATCTCAGTGGAAACACTCATTAAATGCGGCTTTGCCTTTGGGAGAGTGATGGTGGCGAGTGCTCTGAATCAGTTTTATTTTCCTAGCCTCCCCATGATGGGTTATGCCATGTGCCTCTACCCACAGCCCAGCGTCTGGCCAGGTACCAGGAGGCAGACTCAGAGGAGGAAGAGGCAGTGCCCAGAGGGGGCTCGCTGCCCCAGCGCAGCAGCATTGGAAGCCATCAGAGCGTTCGTGTCATGCACAGGAGCCAGAGCACCAAGTCACATCGGCGCACAGGCAGCCGGGCAGAGGCCAAGCGGGCCAGCATGCTGTCCAAGCACACGGCTTTCAGCAGCCCCATGGTGAGTCCCACTCAGAGGACAGCAGCTACCCATGCTGGGGCAATACCACCTTTTCTTGCCTCCATTCATCTGTATGTAATAATACAAATGAGCTGTTGCTGGGGAGTTAGCTCTACTCAGTTAACAGAACTTGTGTGGCCAACACCTTCTCCCCACACTGCTGGGGGATTGCTGGTGATGGAGAGGGAGTCTGTCCTGCCAAATGAAATGAATAAAACAACAGAGCAAGATGACAACTGTGAAAAAGCAAAACCTAATAGAAAAAAAAAGTTTTAATTAGATGAGCCCAAATCCAATAAATTTCTTTCTCTATTGCCTTGCCCAAACATTTATGGACCATCCTCATCAGTCAGGGAAATTTCCAAAAGTGAGCGAGTAATAGTTTCTAAAAGATGCTTTCACTTCTAAAATGTTTTAAGAACAGAGAGGGAAATCCATTTTGATCATTCCATGTTGGTCTCATTCTTCTGTGGCTTTTGAAATCTAAATAGACACTGGCATTTAAATTGTGGTTGCTGATTGGTGGTTTTACACAAGGCACTTGGGAGGTGGGCTCTCACATCTGGCAGGAGTAGCACTGTGTTGAAACAAACTTTTCTGACATTGATGTAACAATATGGGTCCAAAAGTATTTGAAATATTCAAACTTTCTGACCTAGAAATTTAGTGATTCAGTCAAAGATTTCTGTGCATAGAAGTTTATCAGTTAAAAAAAATGTATCCAATGATAAAAGAATGGCCAAATGAATCATGGTATGTCTATCTTGAAGTTGCTAAAACTTATATTTTCAAATGATTGTTAAAGCCTGGAAAAGATCAGACTGTAGTTAGCCCTTGAACAACGGGATTTTGAACTGTGCAGGTCCACTTACATGCAAAATTTAAAAAATAAATACAGTGCAGTACTATAATTATATATTCCTTATGATTTTCATGTTTTCTTTTCACTAACTTAATTTATTATAAGAATACTGTATATAATACATATAAGATACAAAATATGGTGTTAGTCCACTGTTCATATTATCAGTAGGGTTTCTTGTCAGTAGCAGGCTAATTTTGGGAGTGTCAAAAGTTATACATAGATTTTTCAACTGCATGGGGACTCAGCACTCCAGCCCCTGCATTGTTCAGAGGTCAACTGTGTATAATGTTTTGGGGAAAATGGAAACTCACAATTTATGTATAAATTTTCTTATTGAGATGTAATTGACATACCATGTTGTATTTTAAGGTGGGAAATGGAAATCAAAACCATGATGAGATATCATTTCGCACTTGTTAGAATGGTTATCATCAAAAGAACAAGAGACAAGAAGTGTCAGCCAGGATATGGGGAAAAGGGAACCCTCATTTGTGCACTATTGGTGAGAATGTAAACTGGTGCAGCCACTAGGGAAAACAGTATGGAGGTTCCTCAGGAACTTATAAATAGAAATACCGTGTGATCCAACAATCCCACTTCTGGGTTTATATCAAAAGAAAATGTATAAAACATTTGATTATGTATAGTGTAAGTGTCTAGAAAAATTCTAGATACACAGAAGCATGTGTATCAAGTACATATTACTATGAGGTGGTTGATACAGATTTGTTATATTTTCCCTTCTCTTTTTCAAGTCTTTCTGAGTCAGATATGTTATATTAATATATATTCTTAGCTGTATTATTTTATAATGACAACATGTAAATGTTCTATATAAGAATATAACCATTTCATTTCATATATGTCATATATTCTTATACAGTTAAAATTATGTGTAAGTCATCACTGTAAAATGGCATATGTAGATGAGTCAGATGAAGGTATCTTTACAACTTAAAATAAAACCAAGGTGCTTTAAACAGTCAAACACCAGTATTCTTGGCAGGTCCCTGGGTTATACTCACCCCTCAGCCTCCATTTTCTTATAGGAGAAAGACATTACACCTGACCCAAAGCTGTTTGAGAAGGTGAGTGAATGTGACAGGTGTTTGGCCATCGCAAGGCACCAGGAACACCCACTGGCCCACCTCTCACCAGAGCTCTCTGATGTGTTTGACTTCTTCATCGCCCTCACCATCTGCAACACAGTAGTAGTCACATCTCCGGATCAGCCACGACAAAAGGCAAGTTCTAGAGTATCCCTGTGAAGCCAACACCTTTGACCTTCAGCATGGCCCCACTGTTGTCAGTCTGCCCTTTCCAGCAGGACTGATTACACTACCTCTCAGGTTTAAGGGTATGTAGCAGGGGGCTTTATATGGGGTAGGCCAGCTCACTGGTTCTGTGGCACCATTCCCAGGCTACCATAGGCAGATAAAATGTTGGGGGCCAAGTGGGAGAGAGCAGACAACTTCGTCCCACAATGGTTGGGGCTCATAATAGCCAGATCTGGAGTGAGGCTGCCCTACACAACCTACACAGAGCTTCAGGGTTCCAGATTCTCACAGGAAAGTAGACAGATCAGGCTTGAGGCCCAGACAAATCACCTGGACTTGAATCTTGACTTTACCACCCAGCTGAGTGGCTTTGGACAAGCCTTCCCCTCCTGTGCCTTATGTGATATGAGGGCAGTGGTGGAGTTTAGAGAAAGGGCTCAGAGGAGGGCTTGGCACACAATAAATGTATTTGATATTAAAGCTTTTAACATCGTCTTTCAAGGATAAGTGGTCAAGAATTGATGAGAGGTTACTTAAGATGGTGGAAACATAGCAATAGTCCAAGTTGATTTTTGTTTGGGATTATTATTAATAATAATTAATGACCTTATTATAACAAGGTTCTCTCTAAAGAAAATAGAATTTCATGTGTGAACAGGTCCTCTATAACCCAGGTGTTTCTCAGAAAGTCCTCCAAGTGGGCTTGGAGGTATGCTTATATAGTGTGCACCTAAGGATGCACGTGCAGAATGCAGTGAGGCAACTTTAAATGGATAAGAATAAAAGTGTTCTAGGGCTAGATGCATGCCATAGACGTGCCTCTCAACCCTCTACCCTCTGAGACCCCTTTCCCTCCTGGGTCAGTCCTTTTACCAGGTTCTACTGATGGAGCCATTGGTGTATGATGTGGGCTGAACAAGGGGTCTCTGCTCTCTCTTGGCAGCACCCTATCTGGCAGTAATACAGCACCCCCTGTGCCCTTGCTTCTGCCACACTGGCCTGCAGAAACCCCAGTGGGCCTGGTAGATCCAGAGTAGACAAGGTCCCACCAATCAGAGACCACACAGTTGCTCTGTCTGCCCTAGTCAGGAGCTGCTTTCTGCTGCAGCTCACCTCTTAGCTGCCTCAGCATCCCTCATCTGGCCTTTGGGTTCTTCCACCACCTAGTACCACCTAATACTCAGCCCCTCTGGCATGCATCCCTGCAGAGGATTCTTTCTAGTAGAACCTATCTGACAAACTGAGGCATTGTTGCAATTACTGAGTCACTGAGAAGGACCGCAACATAACCTGAGGCATGTGATGATTGTCACATACACAGTGCATTCCATATAGGGAGCAAAATATTTAATCACCGCCCCCCCAAGACTGCAAATGAACAGGTCTATGGATGTGCTTCTCTTCTCACATATTAGTGAGTGCTATATCTTCAGAGTACCTGGAGCCAGCAGGAACTCGTGTGGCTGCTTGAATCTCCCCATTGGATGTTAGCACATTTAAAGTCATTATAGGAACAAAGAAGAAGCATCTTTATCAAAGTTGGTCCTATGGGCCCTGCTTGACCACACACCTGACTTTTCTGGAGGCTATTGTATAATATACAACTTTGGACATATGGGCAAAATTATGAAAATTTAAGGCTAACTGTAGCTCAGTGTTTTGATTGTTACTTTTGCTCTAAATCCATTTTCTGGCAGAAAGTTAAAATAGGTATATTATGCCACCATTAGTGAATAGTACTCATTTAAATGAAGTAATGCTATTGCTCCATCATTGAGCTTTTTAGAACTTTAGCAAATGTGTGTAACTGTCATTTTGTTGTTTTCATTTCTTGTTAGAAGATATATAATTTATCGTGACTTAAAAAAGTGAGCTAAATGATTTCAATCCTGAATTTGTCCATGCATTTAATTTGTTTAGAAAAGTTCTTTTGGGTTTGGGAATGTTATTTAAATTTTATCTACAAATAATTCAAAGGACTGTATCAACTGGTCTTCTGTTAAATGTTTTTTGCAAGTGGAAAAAAATAAAGCCTGGGTTTTATGCCAGGCAATGACAGGCATCCTCTTCTGAGCCATTTCTGCAAAACAATGGGACACTGCAGTGTGGGGACAGGACAGCCAGCAAAGGATAGTCTCAAAGCCTACAGGCACCATGGGCCTGAGTCCCCTGAGTCAGTCCAGGGCCTCCATGTATATGGTGAATCTTTGTTTAAGTGAAGTGTAAGAGGCCAAAGGGTGTTCTCAAGGAAGATCAGTGTTGGCTCTGGTTGCAGTTTTTAGTGCATGCCCTCCCCAAAATCTGGGAATTGGGAATTCTATGCCCGAACCCCCACTGGGGAAGTAGAGGAGTGCCCTGTGGTAGTTGGGGTGAAGCCTTTAGACACACCTTCGCTGTCTTCTGACTGCTTCTCTTGCAGGTGAGGGTGAGATTGGAGGTGAAGTCCCCCGTGAAGACAATAGAAGACTTCCTACGAAGGTTCTCACCCAGCCGTCTGACCTCTGGCTGCAGCAGCATCGGGAGCCTGGCCACCAACAAGACCACCCACAAGTCAGGGTCCAACTTTCTGTCCACCCTGTCCAATGACAGCACGCTGCTCAAGCTGGAGGAGAGGCTGGGCCAGCCAGCCCCACCCATTGCCAGCAATGGCTATAGCAGTGGGGCTGCCAGCTTGGCCCCGGAGAACACTTCCCAGGAGCAGGAGCTGGAACTGGAGCAGGAGCGGGAGCAGGAGCGGGAGCTGCGTTATGAGGCCGAGAGCCCCGACGAAGCAGCCCTTGTGTATGCTGCACGGGCCTACAACTGTGCACTGGTGGACCGGTTGCATGACCAGGTGTCAGTGGAATTGCCCCACCTGGGCAGGCTCACCTTTGAGCTCCTGCACACGCTGGGATTCGACTCCATTCGCAAGAGGATGTCAGTGGTGATCCGGCACCCACTCACCGATGAGATCAATGTCTACACCAAAGGAGCTGACTCCGTAGTCATGGACCTCTTACTGCCTTGCTCCTCAGGTATCCAGCTCCTCTCCTCTGGGCCGCATCTCCAGTCCATTACCATGAGTAAAGTGATTTTCATTAAGCCTTTTCTAAAGCAGTGCCTATCAGAGAGTGCCTCTCTGGATCACCCTTTCCTTCCTCTGTTTCCCACCCCAAACTCTGAGAGATTTAGACTAGAATGCACTGGAGGACTGAGAATGGAGGGCTTCAGTGCCTGAACTCACCTCAGAATAGTGGGGTTGGTGAGGCCTAGCATCATTTTAAATCTGGACAATGGAAGTCAAGAACTTTTAGACCTGAAGTTCAGAAGGCTTGTTCCTGCCCTGTGATTGCCTGGACCAGGGCAACTGTGAATCCAGGTCATGGTTTGTAGCCCATTTGTGGAGCTGCCTCAGGTCACAGTGAGGCTGCTAACCTCTCTGTCCCAACTTCAGGCTGAGCAGCTCCATTTTGGCCTCTTTTGAATACTAGACTGCCATATAACTTCTGTGTTGAAAAAGAGAAATCAAAACCACTGGTGTAGAGAGTAGACCTTTATCCAGCAAAAGGGCTTGTTTGTACCTCCTTCTAGACACATGCTTCTAGGCTTTGGGTGGGGGATGGCCTAGGTCCCTATCAGTAAACCTGGTCACCATTCTCTCTGTACTTGGAGGATTAAGGAGTACATATCTAGGTGAAGGAGACCGGGTGGAGGTGAGGATACTGCTGGCATATGGAAGGGTACCTGCTATGGCTCTGCTGCCTGACCTCCACAGTCTCCTTATCTGTTTCCTTATTCTGGAAACAGCTCTAGGTACAATCTGCTGTGAAACCCTGTACACTGGATGGAGCTAGGGAATACTTTATGTCCCGTGGTCCTCTTGCCATGATTTCAGTGCCTCAAAATGGGACTCCTGGCTTTCTAGGCCAACACCATTCCGTTGTGAGAAAGTGCACTTAGGATCTCTGCACACAGGAAATCGTTTTCCCACAGCAGAGCTATTGCCTTCCAGTTTGCAAACGTGGCTCCAAAAACAGTTTGGAAAGCTTTTCATGGGGAGAACCTACCAGAGGGCAGGATTTGCCTTTCCACCCCAGGGGTTCTGTGCTAGAGTGGACACAGGCTGATTTTGCGTTCCCAGAGCCACCTTCATTCTGCCATTCAGCAGCCTTTTTGTTTTGTTGATGGTTTCCTTCACTGTGCAAAATCTTTTTATTTGGATGTAGTCCTAACAGTTTTTATGCTTTTGTTTGCCTTGTGTAAGGAAACATGTCTAGAATAATGTTGCTACAGCCAGTGTCAGAGAGATTACTGCCTGTATTCTCTTCCAGGATTTTCATAGTTTCAGGTCTCACATTTAGATTTTTAATCCGTTTTGAGTTTATTTTTGAGTATGGTGTCAGAGTAGTTCATTCTTTTACATGTAGCTGTCCTGTATTTTCACCATTTATTGAAAAAAAAAATCCTGAAAAAAACACACACATGGAGACTAAACAACAGGATTCTGAGTAACTGAAGTGTCCACAAAGCAGTCAAAGAAGAAATCAGAAAGTACATGGAAACAAATGAAAATGAAAACAATGGTCCCAAACCTATGGGGTGCAGTAAAAGTGGTTCTAAGAAGGAAATAAATAGCAGTACAGGTCTACCTCAAGAAACAACAAAAACCTCAAATAAATAATCTAACCTTACTGTACCCAAAGGAACTAGAAAAAGAACAGAGACCAAGAGGAGTAGAAGGAAGGAAATAATAAAAATCCAAACAAAAATAAATGATGTAGAGAACATTTAAAAAAAAAAAAAAACAGTAGAGGCACCTGGGTGGTTCAGTTGGTTGGGTGGCCAACTTTGGCTCAGGTCATGATCTCACGGTTTGTGGGTTCGAGCCCCACATCAGGCTCTGTGCTGAGAACTAGCTCAGAGCCTGGAGCCTGTTTCAAATTCTGTGTCTCCATCTCTCTCTGACCCTCCCCTTCTCACACTCTCTGTCTCTCTCTCTTTCTCTCTCTCAGAAATAAATAAAAAATGTTAAAAAAAAAAAAAAAAGAAGAAGAAAAACATCATTGAAACCAAGAACTGGTTCTTTGAAAAAGTTAAACAAAATTGCTAAACCCTTAGACAGCCCCATCAAGAAAAGAAAGAGAAAGGACCCAAATTAAAACCAGAAACAAGAAAGAAGAAGTAACAACTGACACCACAGAAATATAAAAGATTATGAGAATACTACCAAAAATTATATGCCAACAAATTGGACAATGTGGACTAAATTGATAAATCCCTAGCAAAATACAGCTTTCTAAAACAATCAGAAAGAAATTAAAAATCCAAGCAAACCAATTAATAGTAATGAAATTGAATTGGTAATAAAAACACTACAAAAAAATAAAAATCCAGGACCAATTTATTCATAGGTGAATTCTGCCTAACATTTAAAGAAGAGTTAGTACTTAATTGTCCTCAACCTATTCTAAAAAAGAGAAGAGGAAGGAAAGCTTCCAAATACATTCTCTGAGCCTTCTTCATTCTGAAATTTGATTTTGCATTCACACAAAAGAAAAACAGATATGGCAATTTTCTGAGTAGATTTAATTCTACTGTAAAAAAATAAATCATCTTTGTCCTTTTCATTAAAGACAATTTAATGGACCACTATATTTCAGACTTAACCATATAAAGTGGGTCATGAATAAGATAAAAAGCCGGGAGTAACACTAGCAAACAGGGGTAGGACAGGGTGGTAGATGGGGCTCACCATAGAGAGAAGGGACCCTGTTGAGCTGGGCAAGTATGGTAGTTGCCACACTTGTGCTTTGCTGGCAGACCACATTTTTATATGAGTAAGTAGTCTCAAATTTCTAGACAAAGCACAAACAAACAACTCCTACCACTCATAATCAATTTCAAGATCAAGGGCCTGTGGAGAGACTGAGCAGGCTGGGGAACCTCATAGCGCCCTTCACCTGATCCTTCAGCCCCAGTGTAGCTTTGCTGCTGCGCTCACCTCTTCTACTACTTTCCATCTACTACGATCTCTGGGAAGAAATTACTCTCCATATCTAGTTAACTATAGGTGAGAAGAAGCAAATCCTTTCATCTATTGCACCATAGATGAGACAAGTAAAAGAATGACATTGCTCTAGTGACACATTGTCCAAATCATGACGTTGCAAGGGGCAGATTAAAAATAGACAATTTGTCTAGCTCTCCACCTTACTCAAGGAATTTCCAAGCAGTGTGTGGTTCAGATAGGTTTGGAAGATCTACATGTAGACATCCAGCAACTTAAGATTCAGGATGTTCTGGGGTGCCTGGGTGGCTCAGTCAGTTGGGCAGCCGACTTCAGTTCAGGTCATGATCTCACGGTTTGTGGGTTCGAGCCCCACGTCAGGCTCTGTGCTGACAGCTCGGAGCCTGGAGCCTGCTTCAGATTCTGTATCTCCCTCTCTCTCTGACCCTCCCCTGCTCATGCTGTCTCTTTTTCTCAGAAATAAATAAAAACATTTTTAAAAACTTTTTTTAAAGATTCAGGATGTTCTGAGACTCCATTGATTTCCCAAGACAGGACCTATAGGATGGCTCTGGAGTCAACCTGAAGTTATCCACTGGTGACACCCTGGTATTATGTATAAATCATTCAACTTGTACTTTATGGGTGGTTGGGGTGTGGAGAGCATACCTGAAGAGCACTTTACCTGTCCTCAGGAAGTAGAGCATTGTGTCCAAGCTACTGTACCTGTACCCTGGTAATAAAGTAAGGTGGAGACACTAGTATTATCCTCTGGATTACTTCAGATCTTTATCTTTCTTCAAAGAGATATAACATTTCTACCAAAAAAGACATGAGGCTACACTAATAGTTAATGTGACTGTGTTGGAGGGAGTGTCATATACTCAGGACATGATCAAGTCTTAGAAATTGTGGGGGATCAGGTAGAAAGCAGGGTCTGTACCCTACTCTGGTACCTACAGACCTCTGTTCAAATTCCAGGTCTACATTTATGAGCTGGAGTGACCCTGGAAGAGTCACTTTCTTTACTTTAGTTTCCCATCTGCAAAAAAAATCAGGATACTGACCCCATAGGAAGCCTCTGTCCAAACCCCTAGCCCAGTATCTGGTGTTATATAAGCATAGAGTATAAACTAGGTCCCTTTCCCTTCTCTCTGGTTCCTTCCTCTTAAGATTCATTTGCTTGAGGTTTGGTCCAGCTGCCACTTTGTGTGGTGTTTAAGACACAAACTCCAGATTGCCCCACCTCCAAGAGTAAGGATGGAGAGTAGCCCACTACCACCGAGAATGGGCCTCATTCATTGCTGCTATTCAATAAATCAATAAATGAATGCATGAACAAGGGACAAATTTCACCTTATTTTGTCATCTTACTAAGATGAAACTCCTTATAAAATTTGTCAAAAGCATAACAAAACAGAAATATAAGGAAATGGAAGTATCACTATGCACTTTAAAAATACATGTTTATATCATGAGTAGGAGTGGACATTTTCCTCTGAGGTCCTCTTTACAGGGTCCTGATTATTGCCAGCAGTGCACTGGTGGGGACCCTGCTTCAGTGTCCATCTGCACTGCTTGGCCAGAGCTGGGGTAGGGCTCCTCTCAGTCCTGTTGTGTCTTGAGGTCAGTGACATGGGTCTTAACTAACAGGAGATGTTACTGTCTGACACTATGCTTGCCCTGCAATCCTTCCCCCCAGCACTCAGATGTGGTTGCAGGGACCTTCTCTCTGTACCCCTGAGGCTGCCACCTTCCACCAGGAGATGCTGGGTACCATTGGTTACATCTCTGCTCATGATGTTGCTCCATTAACCCAAGTGGCTATGTTGCAGTGCAATACAGAATTCTTTCTAGTACCATTCTAAGAAAAGACACAGAGGGTCTGGGTTGCCTAGAGTATCAGAAGAGTCCGACACTGCATGAATATCACTGAAAATGCAATGTGAATGTTACAATGCCTGTAGTCTAAGATCAGTGCAGGAGAGCCAGGATGACTGTATAACTCTGGGGGTCCATGGGTGTACTTTCTAGGACAGCACCAAATACACTGTTTTTAGGTGCCCCTAGCACCTTGATGCTTGTCTGCTTTCAGTTTGAGTTCTTTCTACCATCCTGGCCCCTCCACCAGAATGTAGATGTATTGCAGCATTCACAAAAAGCCAATCCTACAGATCCTGACATTGGTTCTTCCCAGTGACTGTCCAGCTACTGGTGTAATGGGAATCTATAATGGAGAATTCATGTAAGAATCAGGAGCAGGGTCTTACCTCAAGTGGCAGAGATGTATGTCTTCAAGTCTGGAGGAGGGAGGGGACAAGACAGGGCAGTCACCGCTTCTCTGCAGGGCTGGGTGAGCTCTTCCCAGGCCCTGCTCTTTGTGATCCCATACAGAAACAGCTCAGTGTGGTTGCCTGTGTGATCGCACACTCATCCAGAATCCCAAGCTGCCCAGCCTGCCTCCTCTTTTCCATTGTTTGTTTTGACAAATGTTTGGGCACAGCCCCTCTACACTGTTCCTTTGCCTTCTTCCTCTCTCCTCTCTGGAGAACTGAAATTCTTTATGATTATTATTTTAATTCTAAAGCCTCTCAGACAGATCCCTTTAGTCAAGGAACAGTCAGCATCTGGAATAATGTTATTATCACTTTCTAAGAATATCACAGTATCAGGAGTAAATGGTAGTCATAATTAAGATGTCATCTTTGGAGTGTCATCTTTTTTAGGAAATTTCAATTCCTAAAACAAAGTAATCTAGGGTTTCCTCGCTCTCTCTCTTTTTTTTCCTTTCTCTTTCTTTTTTTGATCCCTATTTTAGCAGCCTTTTTAGACATTTTTAATTACTCCTCCCATGACATTTTAATGCCACAGATGTGCTGTATATTTGTTCATGTGCTGTATATATATCTGTGCTTTATGCTATGCCTAAATATGTTTTAAATGTGTAATTAAAATTATTTCTGGGCTTCTTTGCCCCAGAACCAATGTTTTAGACCCATGAGGGCACTATCTTCTTTATGGAGAGCACATGCCTAAGAGGTGAAAGTGTTTCTCCCAGGTCCAGTTAGTCCAGGGCCTGACTCAGATAGTAGACAACCTTCCCCAGAGTAGGAGCCTCACTACTGATAAATAGAGTTGCCAGATTTAGCAAACAAAATATATCGAATACCCAGTTAATTTGAGTTTCAGATGAACAACATATTTTTAGTAAAAGTATGTCTTTTTTATTTAAGTTTATTTATTTTCAAAGAGAGAGTGTGTGTGCGCACAGTAGGGGAAGGAGCAGAGAGAGAGGGAGAGAGAATTCTGAGCGCCATGCGGGCCTCAGTCTCATGAACCACTGTGAGATCATGACCTGAGCCAACCAAGATCAAGAGTCGGACATTTAACTGACTGAGCCATACAGGCGCCCCAATAAAAGTATGTCTATGTGCTATTTGTGCATCTTATATTCTGTCTGGTAACACTACTAGTGTTTTGGGGATAGAAACTGCACTTTCTGCTAAAGTACAATTTTTCACAAACTGGAAGATTATGTACCTTCATTTATGTGCACCTCCTGGACCAAAGGATACCAGATCACTAATAAAGGTTTGTTTATGAGCTCATTTCAACAGAGGTCATTAGTAACAGTCAAAAATATAATGTGCTTATTTTTAAAACAACAAAACAGCTTTTATCTTAAATTTTATGTGAAAAGTGTGTACTATTCACAAGTGAAGATATAGACACAAGATGCATCTAGTGGTGCAGAGGTTTCACAGGAGATTGTTGGAGTAACTCATGGGGTAGGATGCTCTTGTGACATCCCTGCATAATGAATTGTAACAAAATGTAATTCTAAATGCAGCCAGCTAGAACACTGCAGAAAAGTGAGTGTTCCACTTCTTTCTCACCGGTCCTGAAACACAGTCATAATATACTTTTATCATGCACAAACTAAAGTGCCTAATGCCTTCCCACTCATAATTGGTGACCCAAGAAAATGTTAGAGTTACAAAAGTGTTTGTCACCTTGTCATGGATACCACAAGCTGTGTGAGGCTCAAAGTCAGCACCTCTGTAGTCTAGTAATCAGTAAATGTGCTCAGCTGTGTCTACTAGAAACAGAAAAGGGTGGATGTTTGGAGAAGTCTCACAAGAAGATAGCTAGTTTCTTAGCTTTTTAATTGTGGTAAAAAACAACATAACATAAAATTTACCATCTGCGTAAGTGTACAGTTCAGTACTGTTAAATGGATTCACATTGCTCTACAATACATCTCCAGAACTTTATCTTGCAAAATAAACTATCCATTGAACAACTTCTCTTGTCTTCTTTTCTCCCAGCCCCTGGCAACCACTATCCCCCTTTCTGTGTCTGTGAGTGTCACTACTTTCAGACCTTCCTTAAAAATGTGGCCATTTTCATGGGATGCTTGCCTGAAAGCTGGGTGAGGAGAGCTTCCAGGCTAGAATGTCTAGGGTGGTGCTGACCTCTCCTCTGTATCAGCTACATGTGTAGATCTGTTTCAACACTGTGCAAAGCTACCTGAGGTTAATGGAGTGCTTCAGGGCATTCTGCTGGACTCTGTTCTTACTCATCTGTGTTTCTGCTTCTATACCAACCTAGACGATGCCAGAGGAAGGCATCAAAAGAAAATCCGAAGCAAGACTCAGAATTACCTCAACTTGTATGCAGTGGAAGGTCTGCGCACCTTGTGCATCGCCAAAAGGGTGAGTGTATGCCCCTTCCACAAGTGCACATGCTGACCACTGCCCCCACAGTGCTCAATGCCTGCATGGGATTCATCATTGTGTCTCATGTAGGTTCTGAGTGAAGAAGAGTATGCCTGTTGGTTGCAAAGCCACTTAGAAGCAGAATCCTCCCTGGACAACCGTGAGGAGCTTCTCTTCCAGTCTGCCATTCGCTTGGAAACGAATTTGCATCTGTTGGGTAATTATGCACATGAGCATGAATTGCGCCAAGCACTATGAAATTTGCAGAGACAGTTCTGGATAGTGAGGTGACATGGCTCTAGTCTTTGGCAGCTCTGCACATGCAAACCTTGGTTAAGGAATTGCCTGGCCTGATACTAGCATGGCTCCCAGGACCAACCATCCTTGATTGAACATTCACACCATGGCCCTTTTCTTTTTTTTTTTTTTTTTAATGTTTTATTTATTTCTGAGAGAGAGACAGCATGAGCAGGGGAGGGTCAGAGAGAGAGGGAGACACAGAATTGGAAACAGGCTCCAGGCTCTAAGCTGGCTGTCAGCACAGAGCCCGACACAGGGCTCGAACCCACGAACTGTGAGACCATGACCTGAGCCGAAGTCAGACACTTAACCAACTGAGCCACCCAGCCGCCCCTCCATGGCCCATTTCTTGATGTTCCATGTACTGTCCCACCAGACACCCAGTGACAACACCTGAGTTGCCTCCCCTTAAACACTGCTTCCCACTATTTTTTTGAGAAATAGACATGAGGAACAAGGCTTCTCAACCATTGATCTTGAAGGAACTCCTTCCACCTCCTACCCCTAAGACAAAAAGAAATTGTTGGAGTCCATAAATGGCTGCACATTACGTCTTATGAATGTTTCTTTATTTTTTAATTTATTTTTTTAATTTACATCCAAGTTAGTTAACATATAGTGCAACAATGATTTCAGGAGTAGATTCCTTAATGTCCCTTACCCATTTAGCCCCTCCCACCAGTAACCCTCTGTTTGTTCTCCATATTTAAAAGTCTTTTATGTTTTGTCCCCCTCCGTTTTTATATGATTTTTGCTTCCCTTACCTGATGTTCATCTGTTTTGTGTCTTAAATTCCTCTTATGAGTGAAGTCATATGATATTTATCTTTCTCTGACTAATTTTGCTTAGCATAATACCCTTTAGTTCTATCCACATAGTTGCAAATGGCAAGATTTCATTCTTTTTGATAGCTGACTAATACTCCATTGTATATATATGCCACATCTTCTTTATCCATTCACCCATTGATGGACATTTGGGCTCTTTCCATACTTTGGCTATTGTCGATAGTGCTGCTATAAACATTGGGGTGCATGTGCCCCTTTGAAACAGCACACTTGTATCCCTTGGATAAATACCTAGTAGTGCAGTTTGCTGGGCTTTAGGTAGTTCTATTTTTAATTTTTTGAGGAACCTCCATACTGTTTTCCAGAGTGGCCGCACCAGTTTGCATTTCCCTCAGCAGTTCAAAAGAGATCCTCTTCCTCCTCATCCTCGCCAACATCTGTTGTTGCCTGAGCTGTTAATGTTAGCCATTCTGACGTGTGTGAGGTGGTATCTCATTGGGGTTTTGTTTTGTATTTCCCTGATGATGAATGGTGTTGAGCATTTTTTCATGGGTCAATTGGCCATCTGGATATGAATATTTCATAGATTCAATTTGGTTGAAAAGAAAATGAGCTCATTTTTACTAAAATGCTATTTGCTACTGTGTTCATATTAGTATTTGTAAAAGTATTTATTTTAATATTTAAAATATTTAACATTTGGTTTGTATTAAATTAGCTGAGTCTTTCTATGTGTGCTTCTGTGACCACATCATTTGTAATCATGCTGTATATACACGTACCCCATCCTGTAATGCTGGTAGTCAGATGGTATACCTAGGGCATGGAGAAACTGGAGTTCATCTCTTCATTTAATACAGAAAGGCTGTAATTCATTTGGCCTTGTTCCCTGAACAAAGGAATTGGGCTACCTTCATATCTATATATGCATACCTAATATAATATCTAATTAATATATTTAATAGCACAATATACACGCTTTATATGATATTCTTTTTTGCCTGTGATATCCTATAAGAGGACATGCACTGATCAAAAAAGGCCCAAGATCCAGAGGCCCAGAGACATCATGAGCAGTATTCCTGCTTAATTAATTAAATGAAATACTTGGAAACAGCTTTTTCTAGTCTGCCACATTTTGATTTACTGAGCATAGACTGTTCACATCTAGAACATGCTTCTCCAAGAGAGATAAGACCCTTGGGTGACGTGGGGGGATCCTGCTGGTCCTCCTGGTCTGAGGACAGGTTGTGCCTGTCTAACTTTTCTGACTCTTCACTGTGGGACACTTTCCCTGGAGAGCTCTGACTCTTGAATAGAGTAAAATTTGCCTTCCCAGTTCCTTCTTACAGTGGGCATTTGTCCCACCCTCTGGAGCAATGCAGATAAAATCTCTTCCCCTTTCAAGAGGGTAAGACCTTAACTGTTTGAGGATTTGGCTATGAGTCCCCAGTCTGTCCCTTCACCTGTATTATTTCACTCCTACCTTTCCTTCTTTCAGAGTCTAGGGGCATTGGCTTGGTTGTTCAGTCCTGGCTTTATCACTTACTAGCCATGAGAGCCTGGGCAAGTGACTGTCTTTTTGACATCTCAGTTTTCTACTGCTGGGTAATAATCCTGTGGGGTGCACAGAGGGGCTGTAGTGGAGTACTGAGCGAGATACAGGCACAGGATCCCATGCTTAGCAGCATGTGGCAATGAGTCTTACATCCTCCACATTTGTTACAGCCTGGCTGGCCTCTTCTATAAATTCCTTTTGGTCACCAGATATCCATTACCTCCCTTGTTCCCCATGCTGTATCTTTGTTAACATTTCCTGAATTTTTGACAACCCTAGAACACCCTAAGTTCATACTGAACTTGAAAGCAACTCACCTTCCTAGATCTTTTTCAAAGGAATTGCTTTCTAGCTTGGATTCTGTAATTTTACTTGGGCAACTATGTAAACATCTAAAAGTAGAATTTTCTACTTATCCCTGTTCCAGTTGTTGTTGTTAGTGTTGTTGTTGTCGTTGTTGTTGGGGCCTGGTCAATGTCTTGGCTGGTAGAGTTTTTCAGAATCCTTACTCAGCCACATTCCACGTCATCCATCCTGAGGTGGATGCTTCTCTCCAGGGGTATGTTAGATGGCTCTGAGATGAATCAGTGAACTGCCCCCAGTGGGCACCAGCAGTATCCTGAAGTCTATTCATACCTGCTGTTGAGAGCCTATTCATACACTTTCAGAAATTTTGCAGTCATTGTTTGCTGTTCACATAAATTTTCAGGAATTTTGCATAGGTTTTTTTTTTCTTAAATAGTTTATTGTCAAGTTGGTTTCCATATAACACCCAGTGCTCATCTCAACAAGTGCCCTCCTCCATGCCCATCACTAATCCAGTGAAGAAATGGGCAGAAGATATGAACAGACACTTCTCCAAAGAGGACATTCAGATGGCCAACAGACACATGAAACGATGCTCAGCATCCTTCTTCATCAGGGAAATACAAATCAAAACCATACTGAGATCCTACCTCATGCCAGTCAGAGTGGCTAAAATGAACAAATCAGGAGACTCTAGATGCTGGCGAGGATGTGGAGAAACAGGCACCCTCCTCCACTGTTGGTGGAAATGTAAACTGGTGCAGCCCCTCTGGAAAACAGTGTAGAGGTTCCTCAAAAAATGAACACTAGAACTCCCCTATGACCCAGCAATAGCACTGCTAGGAATTTACCCAAAGGACACAGGAGTGCCGATGCATAGGGGCACATGTACCCCAAAGTTCATAGTAGCACTCTCAACAATAGCTAAAACATGGAAAGAGCCTAAGTGTCCATCAACTGACGAATGGATCAAGAAGATGTGGTTTATCAAGATGTAGAATACTACATGGCAATGAGAAAGAATGAAATATGGCCATGTGTAGCAACATGGATGGACCTTGAGGGTGTTATGCTGAGCGAAATAAGTCAGGCAGAGGACAGCTACCGTATGTTTGCATGTATAGGAGGACTAGGTGGAACTTAATGGAGGACCATGGGGGAGGAGAAGGGAAAAATAGTTGGGGAGGCGATGGGCATAGGTTTTTGATGCTCTTGGTCACTTCACATCAGCTAAGGTGCGTTTATTTGCACCACAGAAATGGGAAAATGCAGCAAATCAACTTCCCTCCTGTTAGCTGGTTGTTAAATACTTCACATCTCCTGTAGCCCAAAATATTTATGGTTCAGATGATGAAGCCTGAGCTGGAGAATGGGAAAGCCACCACCTTAGGATTTACCATAGCCTTATCCACAGTCACCGTGCTCCAGCTTCTCAGATTCATTTTTGAGAAGTGTGTAGTAAACGGTTTATATTTTTAATAACCCAAAGCCAAATACCCCTTTCTAAATCTTGTCATTTAGGTTCTTTTATTAAGTAACATCAGAGAACTACAAAGGAAGGGTCACCATTTATACTGTGTTCTTGAAATTTTCTTTTCCATAATGTTCTGGCCAAGAGCCTAAATTCAAAGAACAATGTTCTGTGCACCTTCCCCAGCACTCCTGTTTGTGTTTCCAGATGTCATCTGAAACTCCTCAGTTGGTGAAATCTTCTCCCCTCCAATGAAAAGCCACCTGACATTTCATCACAGTGAAGCATATTGGCACTTGAACCCTACTACCTGCCTTTGTTATAACACTCAAAATGCCAGGTTTTCCCAAGGCTGAGTGTAGAGAGCTGGCATTTACTCTGAGTCACACAGATTACATTACTAATAAGCTACCTTAGAGAGCTGAAGAAAGACACTGTGTTTCTTGATAATTTTTAAAGGACTGTCCCCTGAGATTTTTCTTTATCCTCTGCCATTTTTCATGCTGAGATAGACATCCTTCCCTAGCTGTTTTTCTGAGTTCAATAATATTCTCTGTTTGATTCAAACTTGTATGTAGAGTTTAGGATGGGTCCAATGACCCAGTCAGGGCCCAATACTTTGGCCAGTTAGCTCCTGAAATGAAGATAAAGTTAGCTTCTGAAATAACACCTTTGTTTTTAAGGTGTTAGATTTTTCCCTAAAGGACTAGAATGTATCCGTGAGACCTTCCTTGCTTTCTTTTCTGTTGGATATTTATCAAGGAGCTCTGGCCAAGCAGACAGTATTCAAAGATGGGGAGTCACAAATCCCTTCTGTAAGAAGTTGCCATCTAGTAAAGAGTGGGTAACCAATTGAGTTAGACACAAGGTACTGCTCAGTAATGGAAGTTATCCTAGAGTAGCCATGCAGGTCAGATGTTTGGAGCATGAAACATACAGTGCACAGAATGCTAGCTCTTCCCTCACTAACTCCCTCCCTCACCTTAGCTTTCCACATCTATATGGTATGGGTGGGTAACTGTAGTACTCACACCTTAGGGATGCTGTAGAAATTTTTGCCTGGCAATTAGTAAGCCATCAAGCTTAGCCATTATGATGATTCCATAACCATTGTTATTATTAAGTATGAACAAGATATTTTGAATACACAGAGACAGTCATGATCATCCATCGTCCTTTCCCCAGATATCTGGGAACATATCCTAGCAGAAGTGATACTTAGGATGCACTGGAGGATGTTGTCAATTCTGTTGGATAGTGAAAATAGGGAGCCAGAGACCTAGAACACACACACACACACACCATGCTAGCACCCAGGGAGCTGCAGAAGGGGAGAAAGGCCAAGACCAGAGGGCCTTCCATTGCCTGGATTGTCAGGGATGTGCTCACAGTGAGCATGGAACATAGCATGGTTTTATTCTGAAGCAGACTTTGAGACCCACACCCCTGTCTAGTCCTTCTCCTGAGGGCTCCATGATTCAGGCTGAGGCCAGCCTGGGTACAATATTTCCTTCTCCTTTCTGTGCCCTTCCCAAGTTCCCACTTAGACTTCTAGGACATTCAAAGGAGAAATAGGCCCAGGTCCAATACACTGCACAGGCTGCATGAGATAGAAGAGAGAAGGCTGCCACTTACCCCTGAGGGGGCTTCTGAGGAGGCACCACCCAGAGCTGGTGATGCTCTGTTTCCTGAGCTCAGCGCTGTCTACACAGGTGTATGATTTATGAAAGTACATCGTAGGGTATATTTAAGAAATGCATGCCTTTTATAAGTGTATTATACCTTGACTCTACCCTCCCTGTACCTGCCAATTTATCTGTTCTAGGAGGAGAAAGGGAAGTGGTGTCTGTCTTTATCATTTCAGGCTGCCATTACAAAACACCACGGACTTTGGCAGGTTAAATAACAGACATTGATTTCTCACAGTTATGGAGGCTGGGAGTCCCATTTCAAATTACTGGCCATTTTGGTTCGTTAAAGGTCTGTCTTCCACTTCTCCAAAGAGGACATCCAGATGGCCAACAGACACATGAAACGATGCTCAGCATCTCTCTTCATCAGGGAAATACAAGTCAAAACTACACTGAGATACCACCTCATGCCAGTCAGAGTGGCTAAAATGAGCAGAACAGAGAACTCTAGATGCTGGCGAGGATGTGGTGAAACGGGCACCCTCCTACACTGTTGGTGGGAATGTACAGCCCCTCTGCAAAACAGTGTGGAGGTTCCTAAGGAAACTAACAATAGAACTCCCCTATGACCCAGCAATAGCACTGCTAGGAATTTACCCAAGGGATACAGAAATGCTGAGGCATAGGAGCACATGTACCCCAATGTTCATAGCAGCACTCTCCACAATAGCTAAAACATGGAAAGAGCCTAAGTGTCCATCAGCGGACGAATGGATCAAGAAGATGTGGTTTATCTATACCATGGAATACTACATGGCAACGAGAAACAATGAAATCTGGCCATGTGTAGCAACATGGATGGACCTTGAGGGTGTTATGCTGAGCGAAATAAGTCAGGCAGAGAAAGACAAATACCATATGTTTGCACATATAGGAGGATTAGGAGGAACTTAACTAAGGAACAGGGGGAGAAGAAGGGGGGAAATGGTGGAGGAAAGGGAGAGAGGCAAACCATGAGAGACTCTTGAATGCTGACAAAAACTGAGGACTGATGGATGTGGGGGGGAGGGGGGATGGGCATGGAGGAGGGCACTTGTGGGGATGAGCACTGGGTGTTATGTGGAAACTAATTTGACAATAAACTATTTGTAAAAAAAAAAAAAAAAAAAAAAAAAAAAAAAAATAAAAAAAAAAAAAAAAAAAAAAAAAGGTCTGTCTTCCTGGTTTGCAGATGGCTATCCTCCTTCTGTATCTTTAAATGGTAGAGAGAGATCATCTCTCCTGTGTCTCTTATTATATGTGCACTAAGCCCATTCATAAGTATTCCACTCTTTTGACCTAATCACCTCCCCAAGGCACCACCTCTTTTTTTTTTTTTTAATATTTTTTATTTATTTCTAGGAGAGAGAGAGACAGCGTTGAGCAGGAGAGGGTCAGAGAGAGAGGGAGACACAGACTCTGAAACAGGCTCCAGGCTCTGAGCTGGCAGTCAGCACAGAGCCCGACGTGGGGCTTGAACCCACGAACAATGAGATCATGACCTAAGCGAAAGTCAGACGCTTAACCGACTAAGCCACCCAGGCGCCCCTCCAAGGCACCACCTCTTAATGCCATCACCATGAGGGTTAGGGCTTCAACCTGTGAGTTTTGGGGATAGTGGTGCACATTCAGCCCATAGCACCCTCTTATCACAGGGAACAGTATGGTATAAAAGAGAAAGGCAGGGCTGATGAGGAGTCCTCAGTCAATGCTGTACTACTAGAGGGGAGATACAGACCATCTCATTATGTTGGCAACAGTAACAAAACTGAGGCTGGCCTGGAGAGCATCTTTCAGCACTGAGTAGATTCGTTCCAATATACAGAGCCCTACATAGGGAAAGCCACTGCTTATTAATTACATTTATGGAGACAGTACCTTCTGGATAACCTTGCTTTCAAGAAATAATGGGCTTGTGTGGTCTGTTTTGACAGCTAATGGTAAGCATTGCTGAGAACAAATAATGTGGATGTCATTCACCAAAAGTTTTACATGGAATGGATAATTTTCAAAGGTTTTTTATCCTTCAGAATAAGGTCATTACAAACATCTCCCCAAAAGATTTGTTTCCACATGATCTATTAAGTTAAAAATTAGCTGCATGTTAAAGCATTGGAAGTGCTTTCTTGGCAAATAAACAAAGAATTGTGTTTAGTGAGTCCATTATTCTGACTCATTCTCGACTGTGTCAATTGAGAGAGCTGTTGAAAGGGCTCACCACTGTCCTAAAATGATGAATTATCAAAGAGTGCTTCCACATGAGACTGGCCTCAAGCTAGTCTCAGTCTGTGGGGTTATGCCAACATCTTTGGTGTGTTGGTGATGGCATTCGTACCCCATCAGGGTCTGAGGGCACGTGAGGAGGGGGCTTACATACACTGTTGCACATTTGACCAGGTGCTACCGGGATTGAAGACCGCCTACAGGAAGGAGTCCCAGAAACCATTGCTAAATTGCGTCAAGCAGGCCTGCAGATTTGGGTTCTCACCGGTGACAAACAAGAAACAGCCATTAACATTGCATATGCCTGCAAACTGCTGGACCATGATGAGGAAGTCATCACCCTGAATGCTGAATCCCAGGTATGTAGGTTTCCAGGAGCCCATGCTTTACCTGGGGCAGCTTCATACCCAACTAGCCCCCACAGCAACAGGAATGTCTTCTGTTTCTGGCAACTGCTGTGAGACAAGTCTTTGCCCTCTACCTCTGTTTACACCTATGTTGTATTGTCATTGTCTAGGAAGGTGTGGAATTTGCTGGAATTTCTTAATTTCAAAGGGATGTACATCTGGACTTTATTAATGCTAAGTTTGATTTGTTTTTCCCTGACCTATCCATGTCAACAACATTGGAGAATTCTTCTATGAGGTCACATGAGCCAGGGAACCAGTCCATTCAGCACTGATGTACTCAGGACAGGATCAATTGTCTAATGGATATCCCACTGTACACTGAGGGTTTTGATCCAGTCACATTTATCTATTTAAATCCTCAAGTATGTAGGGATTATCGACTTCTCATAAAGCCCTGGTCTGGACTCCTTGAGTGAGTTCCTACTTGAAACATCTTTTTGAAATAGATGATGAGGTGCAGTACGTCAACTTTTCTTTTAAAAAATTTTTGTAAATTTTTTTAATGTTTATTTATTTTTGAGAGAGAGACAAAGAGAGAGACAGAGTGTGAACAAGGGGAGGCACAGAGAGAAAGGAGACACAGAATCCAAAGCAGGCTCCAGACTTTGAGCTGTCAGCACAGAGCCTGATGTGGGGCTCAAACTCACAAAGTGTAAGATCATGACCTGAGCCAAAGTCCGATGCTTAACCGACTGAGCTACCCAGGTGCCCCTAATAATATTCTTTTAATATTTATTTATTTTTGAAAGAGAGAGAGATAAAATGCACATGAGTGGGTGAGGGGCAATGAGAGAGGGAAACACAATCCGAAGCAGGCTACAGGCTCTGAGCTGTCAGCACAGAGCCCAACGCAGGGCTTGAACTCACAAACCATGAGATCATGACCTGAGCCAAAGTCTTCTCTCACTAACTTTTCTAAATACCAGAGGTCCTTAATAAGCACTTGCCGAACACAACTGGATTTTCAGGGTGTATTGGAGGATATTGATTGCTTCCCCAGTGAGCTCACTGTCTATAAAGGGCCAAGAACTACATGTCTACCCTGGAGTGTGTTTGTTCTTGGAAACATTTGTCTTTCTTATGTCCCCTGACCCCTCAGGTTCCCCATTAAATTTTCCTATTTCTGGAATTCAGATACAGTTTTGGAAGGGCATTGCCAATAAAAGCCTTTTTTATGCTTTTTAAAAAATTTATTTCCCTGGTCAACTGGAGACTTTAGGGAAACACTGATAATTACACTTCCTTAGAGGATAATATAGCAAAGACTTTTAAAGGGCTTTGTACCTCATGAGAAAACAAGAAGGCTGAGTAAAGGCCTCAGAGAGCCATGGAGAAGTACATATAAGGCTGTCTTACCAGCTAGCAGGTTAGCCACATACAGTCAGGCCTTCCAAAGTGAAGATATTCCTATATATATATTATATATTCCTATATAACCTCCACGTAGTAAAATGGGCAATAAAATAGAATCTTATCAAAACCCTACACAAGCTCATCCTCTTCAATGTGGAAAGTCTTCATCTTCAACTAACTTCCCAGTTTCAGGAGAGAAGGCTTCTGGGCAGAGCCTGCAGCCTGGTACTCTTGAGATTATCAGACTATGAGTGTCAAGGAAGGTAAACTAATCTGTGGCTGTCCTCTCATGTCCATTTCAGGAGGCCTGTGCGGCCCTGCTAGACCAGTGCCTACACTACGTGCAGTCCAGGAGCCCCCGCAGTGCCCCTGAGAAGACCACAGACAACGTGAGCGTGGGGTTCTCCCCTCTCTGCCCGCCCTCCACGTCCACCACCTCTGGCCCCAGCCCGAGCCTCGTGATCGATGGGAGAAGTCTGGCCTACGCCCTTGAGAAAAACCTAGAAGACAAATTTCTCTTTCTCGCTAAGCAGTGCCGGTCAGTCCTTTGCTGTCGCTCAACACCTCTGCAGAAGAGTATGGTGGTGAAACTGGTCAGAAGCAAGCTCAAGGCCATGACTCTGGCCATAGGCAAGTATCCAGGCTAGCCAGGCAGGGCCCTGTGTGAATGAGTATCCCCCATCTTGTGCAGCTGCTTCCTCTGGATTCATCCTGCATTTTCTGCTCCTTCTATGCTATCCTGTAAGATGGGAAAACACTTCCTTGCTCTTTTTCCTATTCATAAAATCACACCCGATGCAATAAAATAGGCAGCCTGTTTGAAATACAAAATGTGTATTGAAAACCACAAAATATGGTAGCAACAGTTTTAGCTATATATAGGAAGCCAGTAATACAATGGTGGTCTAAGAAGACAGAATTTATATACTGTTTCCTGCAAGATGGAAGACTAGAGATCTGCTATTCCTGGCAGCCTCGGCCACAGCAGAGCCCTGCATGCTAACCATTACCCCAGAATACCTTAGAAAGAAGGTCCTTTGCAGGTATTTCTGGTCACTGTGAGCCTACTGGAGTCCCAAGACTCCATAATGCTGCAAGAGCCCAGAGACTTGATGGTGATCAGAATTCCCATTGCCTCCTTTCCTTTGAACTTTGCTGATTGTTCCAAGACAAGCATGTCATTAAATGAACCTATCATAAGCACGTGAATAGTTGCTAAATCTTACATCATTTCTTTAAGGATTGTGCATCTAATGGTGGCTTTTCCTTGTAGACTGTTGGCCTGGAGAGCCTTCTAGGCTTCTCTCCAGTGCTACTTGGTTCTCACCTGTCTCCTCCCAGGGCATCATCCCCACTCACATCTGGTTGTGATCTGGTCTCCAGCCAGGTTCAGGGACTCAGCACCATTTGCTGGTGAGGGCTGGGAATGACTGCAGGTAGCCTGGGGAAAGGAGTGATCTCCTTGACCCCTAGATATCAAAATTTTTGGTCTCCCTGAATATAGAATGCATACCTAGGTGAGAGTTTGTTTTGAAATAAAGGGTCCTCACTAATCAATAATAATTGTAGTTTTTTTTACAAAAGGTCTGTGACAGCCCCTCCTTGTTGATGTGGTGATTACTACCCTCTCACATTAGGACAGAGTTGAGGTTGGTGTAGAACCTGGGTCTGAGGTCGGGGGGCCTTAATGGGGTTGTCATGAAGACAGCTCTGTACATCCTGAGGGTTGTGGTAACCACTAAGGGGAGTGAGATGATCACAGATGTGAATACATGTTGAACTATGACTCCCTGGTGCAGGCTGTGGGAAGTCCCCATGCATAGGCCCTTTCCAAGGGAGGCTATCACTGTACTACCTTTGCCCCCATGTGTCTAGAGTGGCCTTCAGAGCTCCCCGAGCAAGTGTTGTAGGTGCTGAGGAGTGTTCAAGCTGAGTGCAGGCTTCTCTGAGCAACTCTCAGTGGTGACATGAGGACCATGTCTCCTGGCAAGGTTGATGTAAGACATGAATGAGTAAACTACATTTTCAAAGCTTGATCAGTGCCTGGCTCAGTCACTGAATCACTGATGTATGGTATTCATTTTTTAAAAATGGAGGTAGAGTCTTGGTTGGTTACAAAGAAAAGAAAAAACAAAATAGAATCTCAAAAGGGAAAGGGAAAGTAATTACCCATCAGGACTTTGGCTCATTTCTTTGACCATGAGTGAAAGCATTGATGGCACCTATTCCCAGATGTCTAGGAGTTAATAATATAGAGAACATTGTTACCTACCATATCTCACTTTGATTGGGACATTCTGGGAAAAGCTGCAGAGATGTTACTACTTCACAGAATTTCAGTTGTGTCAATTTCAGTATTGACTAATCACTCATGTTGGGCCAGTGCAATAAAGAAAAGAAAAATCCTAGGACAGAGATATTCTGTAGCCACATTATGGATCACTATAACTTGTGTATCTGCACTTTTTGCACATTTGAAACTTGGGAAGTACTCTGGGATTTGAGCCCTTCTACTGCCCCATTCCAAGAATGGTAATTGTCGCTTAGTGACAAAGACTTGTAAGTCTCTGCTTGCTTTTCCCTGAAGGTACTGAGAGCTCTGACCTATGTTTTATGTTCCTAACCATTTTCTGTCACCAGTTTGACTGAACAAATAGAAGTTCTTCTTTATCACATCTTTAAAGGGTCCACGGCATACACAATAGCTAATAAGCTAACTGGTAATCAGTGTACAAAAAGAGCTCTACAGTTTACTGGGCATAATTTAACCTCCTTTGTTCAGTTCAGAAAGCCAGCCACTCATGTTAGCATGAATTAGAATAGACTTGACTGATGCTGTACATCAGATAAAGGCTAGAGTTCGGTAAGTAATAATAATGATGATGATAGCATCTTTATTATGGCAGACATTGTGTTAAGGGCTCTCTGTATAGGTATATGAGTCAATAATGTAGAGTAAATACTAAGTAAAATGGTTACCATGTGAGCCTGCTTTCTGAAACATCTCTTGATATGATAGGCAATACCATACCTCACACCATGTTTTTTTCTGACAGCTTAACTCAATTTTCCTGGGGCAGACTCTGCACTGCCTCTTCCTCACTCATCCCCATGACCCTTTCACAGGACTCAGCCCAATAGGGACCCCATGAAGATCCGTCAAGCCGTTTGATTCTGTGCACCTCAACTCAAACGATTCTTCCTGCCTATGCTGTTTCTAGGAGATGGAGCCAATGATGTCAGCATGATCCAGGTGGCAGATGTGGGTGTGGGAATCTCGGGCCAGGAGGGCATGCAGGTAAAGACCGATCAGGCCTGTTCTATATGTCCAAGTGGCCCACTGGCATACCTTGCCATGAACTTTGTCCAACAAGCAAAAGGGTTGACCTTTAATAAAATATGAATGTTGTAAGCCAGTAGTAGAAGGTGGAAGGTAGCTAGCTCTTCATGTGTATGAAGAGTAAAAAGCTTTGCCTATGTCTATAAGTATATTTTTGTGAAATAAGTGAAGCAGAGTGAGGAAAGGTGAGTCATCACCTTTTCTCTGGCTATTTGCGGCTCATCCTTGGAAGGGATATTTTGCTGTTCCTGAACACTAGAGATAACCATTTGAAAAAATGAATCAGTTGTAGGACTTTCGGAATCTGGTATAAATATGGAAACTAGCCATCTTGACTCACATGAAAATTAGTCTCTGTCTTTTTCATTTGTCACTATGTTGGTTCTCAACATGTGACTCAGATGTTGAACAACTGAGTTAATTAAAATAACTTTCTTCTGGATGTAGTATCACAACAATTTCTAACATTTAAGTTTGAGTCATGACATTTTTTTAACTTGCTGAAGACTTTAGAGAACAATCTATCCTGTTTTCTTCCCCTAAAAAATCCAGATGTAGGTTACCATTTAGTAATTGGTTGGTTCATTAATTGTTGCAATCAGTAATTAGTCGTTGAATACTTACATGTGCCAGGCCTGTGCAGAACTCCTTAATTTCCTTATGTGATGTGAAAATAACAGTAAGATGGGAAGTTCTGAGCTAGAAACACAGTATTTCCCTCTTGGCCCATCCTCAACACATACCTTACTCTCCTACTCTCATCTGACCTGAGTCACTGTGCTCTGTTATTTGTGTGGTTTTAATTTTTCCATGAAACTAAAAATGAAGCCCAGGGTTGGTCCCATCCCTGCCTTTTAGCACTGTGTGCCCAGGGGAAGGAGGTAGGGTGGTGAATGGATGAACATAGTCATAATAATTAGTTCATTTTGACATTTTCATTATCACCTCCATTGCATCTGTTCCATATAGCAAAAATCTGAACAGGGCAGTGCCTCTAAATAGTATATGGAAGAGAAATGCACCAAGTAAATACATTTTGTATGAAAGAAGGTCAGGTTTGTGGATTGGGAAGGGACCGAGCTGCCACCACTACTCACTTACTGAAGGCAGGGGCAATAGAAATCCATGATTCAAACCATACGAGTAGTGATGGGAACAGTCAAGCTATAGGGCACATACTGAGACAAAGTTTTGAGTGGGTATAACTTCTAGGTAGGATGTTGTTGGACACTTCTGCATTTATTTAAAGCCACACTTCTTATTGAGGATGTATTAAGTAAGATGATGATAAGGCCTGATACCTTTTCTTATTGTTCTAAGTGCTCAGGTTCCCAGAGAATATTTCCCTTCTTGCATTTTAGTCCAGTAAGCAAAGGTGAGCCCTTTGGAAGATGGACTTTATGGGATGCTGTGGTAACAGTGACACTGGGGATCTGAGCAGATTGAGAATGGGTGAGAATGTTTGGAGCTTCCAAGCTTATCCAAGATGGGAGAAGCTATCCTAGTTGGGCAAAGGAGATCCTGCATCTCCAAGAAGCTTGGTCTTCATGGGGTCATCTGGTTCACCATGTTTATTGAACATTTCATGGGGCCAGGAACTGACTCAGAACTCAGGATTCAGGTTGATCACAACCTCTACTATCCTGGCTCTCATGGAATGTCCAGAAAAAAGCTGGGAAGACAGATACGTATTTTAAATGTTCATAAATAGTCACAATTTTAATAAATGCTGTCAAAGAGAAAAACTAGTTTCTGCATGGAGGATCTAACTTAGCTGGGAGCCACCTTGACAGAAGGACAAGTGGTGGGTTTGGGGCCTAGATTTGGAGGCAGAAAAGAATAGCAGAAGGCTGGAGATGAATACACAAAGCCCTCCAAACCCAGTGATGACAGGAAAAGTACAGAAACAGGATTTGCCTTGAAATCCTTAGCTTTTGATTCAGAAAGCAGACATTCAAAGGCTTCACACTTTTTTGCATGTATAATAACATTATTCTGATTCACAGAATGGACTACATCAAGCATGATCTACTAATTTCTAGGAGTTATTTGACTATAGGGAAATAAATGAAGCAGACTTACATTTTTGTATTGAACAATCCCCCAAAGATAGGCAGAAATCTGTCTCTTCCTGACATTTTCTTTGACTCTTTTTCCCAAATAGAGAAATTCATTATATGGTGGGGTCTAAGTTATTGTGGGTGCAAAAGATGCAATTTGGATGGCATTTATCTGGCCCAGTTAGTTTAATTGTATACAGCATGATGCTAAATGAAGTGAGAGGAAGCTTCCACCCCCAGTCATCTTTCCTGTCCATGGAGGAAACCTGCTATCCCCACTCTCTTCTGGGTGGAGTGGACACCCATTGCCCTTTAGCAGCTTCTTGGGACTGGGTTATGTGAAGGCCTGCAGAGCCATGGGCTTGGCCTTGCTAATCACGTGTGGCTTCTGAGGAGAAGGACCCAAAACATACCTACCAGGATGGGCAACTGCCAGGATGCATACAAAAGGGGCAGCTTTGGTTCATCTCGGGGTTGAGATCCTAATATGAATAAAACATCAAAGGCTGGAGAATAGCAGGGAAACGGTGCATCTCTGGGTTTTTGTTTTTGATTTTTGCTTGTTAATGGAAGCATGGGAAAACAAAAACTTGGAAAATCAATTACATATATTTTAAATCTTAAATGAGTTCTATAAAATGATATCCCTGAGCTAGAGCACTTGTTGAGATTGATTTTTTTTTTTTAATTGAGGGAGATAATAAGGGAAATCATGGTAAAGTGAGCCTTGGCCAGTCACACATACATTGTGTTTGAAACTGGATTTATCCATGCATGTTTGCCTTGTATTTGGGGAAGATAGGACAGATCTTAGGTGGAATAAGGTGTCAACAATAACAGGGACTTCTCTCCCTTTCAAGGCAGTGATGGCCAGTGACTTTGCAGTGCCGAGATTTCGATACCTTGAGAGACTCTTAATTGTTCATGGACATTGGTGCTATTCCCGACTTGCCAACATGGTGCTGTACTTCTTCTACAAAAATACAGTAGGTATTTGAAACTTCTGGTTTCTAGTGTTTTTGAATCAAAGAGCCTTAGCTGAGATTTATTGGACCATCACCTGAATGTGGCCAGCAGGCCATCCCAAGGCTTCATGTCGGTTTCATCCTCCTCAGTCTTTGTGAACTTCCCCCATTCCTGGCCTGGCTTTGCATCCTATGAGCTCAGAAATCTAACTCACAGGCACATGAGAGTAACTGCTCCTTTAAGGAAGTAAGTTGTGGAAACAGATGGATCAAATAAGAATGCCCACTTACTGCTTTATAGTAAGTGGGGGGAATCATGAAGTACAGTGGTTTGCACAAGGTCCCATAGCTAGTGAATAGTCAAGGCAGCATTTAACCCCAGTTCATATGTCTCCCAACTCTTAACCCCTCTGTTAATGTGTTTCTTAGGAGCAGACTGCTGAGGTGTCCACAGACAGGAGTCCTCTAATCAGTGCTCACTCTACAGCAGTCAGGGAAATCCAGTGACAAGTAGAAGTGTATTGGCAGTCCTGGAATCAGAATGACAGGACTTAGTTATGCCCTGATCCCAGTATTGAACAGCCTCTGTTGAAACATACCCACACTGGGCCAGTGTGCCAGGCCCCTAGGTAGAATGCAGGCTTAGGGCCCAGGGAATGGGGCCACCAATAGGGTCTTGCCACGTTCTCCTGTGCTGGTAGGGCAGATGTGCCCCCTTCTGTCCAGCTCAATCTATAGTTGACCCTCCCATTGGGTCATGCCCAAGCTGGCTGATGACAGTTCTGTCTCTCCAGAGGCTCTAATCCAGGGCCCTTCTCTACTTCATGTTGATCCTAACTCTTAGTTCTTTAATACTAAGTCTTTGGCAGACAAACATCTTTTTCCATAGCCCTCCAGGATGGATGCCATGGCCATTTCTGAACCTGCCTTTCTTGTAGGTGAGGGATAGACATTCTACTATGAAGTTGCTGAGTGGGTAGATGTTGCTCTTGTCTCTAATAGCTTGTGACTGAATGTACAAATAGACAAAATAAACTCTTGGTGTAAGCGATCTTTCAGGGTAGTCCCACTAATCGACCACAGGATACCACAATTCCAGTGTCAATGTCCTATACTCTTCACTGTACAGAAGATTTTTATCTTGATGAGGTCCCAATAGTTTTTCTGTTTCCCTTGCCTCTGGAGATATGTTGAGTAAGAATTTACTATAGCCTATACTCTTCTGGAAAAGAACAAAATAAACAATAACATGAAAGATATATTTCTTATTTCCTTCCCATTAATTCCATTTAAAAATAATGCTAAGTCTAAACTGCCATAAGTGTGCCTCTTGTTCATGTTCTTGTTTGTTCTGGAGATTTAGACCTACCTATCTTTCCCAACCCTCTTATCCCCTCACCCTCACCCTCACTCATTTTCAAAATGTCTTCTAGCAAAATGAATACAGATACTCAGGACCAGTCAGGGCATGTCTGATTGGTAAGTAGGGTCCTGGAAATTAATTCAGATTAGGTTCTGCCTAGGATTCTGTCCAATCAATTCTGTGTCACGCTGCCTTTGGCCTTGCCTGTTTTCTTCAACCACCTGGCATTACATCCCTAGAACTGAGGCCCCCATTCATGTTGCAAACTTAGAAGTTCCTAGTTCCCAAAGAGGTGAATGGGTGCGTGAGTACAGATGAGTGGGGCTGGGCAGATGGCACCCTAGCTCTGTTTCTGTCATTAATTAGCTGTGCAATCTTGAGCAAGTTATTTGCTTTCTAGGGATTTTTCTGATTGTTTTCTGAAAACAAAACATGGGAGTTGAGCACTGCTGTCTCTAATTATTCATGAAAATTTCTCAGGCTGAGGGAAAGAAATTCACCATTTCAGTTGCAAATGAGTGCCAGAATCACTACCTGAAGGGGCACAGCCTCCAGCCTGCCATGATGAGTCTGTCTTTGTGGAGGGAATGGAAGGAGGAGGTGCATGTCTTAATTACATATAAGATACAGGGCCTCTGTTAACAAGCTCTTAATCTGGTTGAGAAGTGCAAAGATAATCACCCTGCCTCCCAAAGTGAGAAATCATTAGTTTTAGGAGAGAAGGAAAGTTTCCATAGTAAAAATAGTTTGGGAAGAAGGCTTTTTGGTACTATAGGGGGGGAAAAAAATCTCAATTATTTAAGTACTTTTCCTCCTCTTTCTCTTGACTCCAGTTGCTCATTGATGACTCATTAGGCTGAGCCTGTGGGGGTGGGTGAAAGTCAGCCATGGGAGTGAGAAGGGAAGAAAGTCAATGAAAAACGCAAGTTTGTAAGTTTTCAGCATGGAAGGGAAAAGTTGCATTAAGTCATAGACTGAAACAGGACTTGGAAGAAATGCATCATTTTTTTCTGATCTTCAGAGCTAGCCATTTTCAGGTCCAGAAACCAAAGCTCAGAGAAGTTAAGTGACTGAGTCAAAGTCAGCAGGAGACAGTGACAGCTCCAGAATCAAAACCCAAGCCATTACCTATGGTCCCCAGCAGAGAATGTTCTTCTTCCACCATGTTCTGTCCTGGAAGTGTCGATGTCTTCCAGGCCCAGACCCACAAGTACTGAACTAGTTGGGTTTATTACTCATACAATGACCATAGTCAAGTCACTTAACATATTGGACCTGAGTTTCCTTTTCTCTAATTGGAATAAATACACTGGCCCTGCTTGAACCTCAGAGAAAATAGCTGTACTGTTAACTATAACAACAACAAATCATAAGTGAGTACCTCTTGTGTACAATTTCTTGTAAGCATTTTAAATACAACAACCCACAGATAAGTACCATTGGGATGCCCATTTCATGGACAAGGACACTGAGGTAGAAAGGGGTTAAATGATCTGTGCCAAATTGTACAACTGATAAGTGTAAGTGCTTTGCTATCACTAAATTGCCATGCCCTCATGTAAATACACTCAAGCCACTGATGTTCGGTGATAGGGGGAAGAGATCCACACAACTCCTACTGAGCATGGACTTGAAGAGGCTGTTAAACCTCCCGGTCCTCACTTTCCTATTTAGCAAAACGGAGGTAGATGTAAGAACCAGTGATAATAACTACAGCTCACTGCCAGCAGAGTGCCTGGGTGTATATCAGGTCTTGGTCAAGGCAGCAGTGTTAGTAGCATCACTGACTTTGCAGTCATGCTTATATGTGTCCTATTGCTGTGGGAATCAATAATTGCCTGCTGTTTCTCATCAGAAAGGGTATGTGACTAAAGAGAGAGGCAAGATCTGGGATGTAGCACAGGAAGGTTTGGTTTAGGATCACAGAAGAGAGGTGGTAGGGAAGAAGCTGCAATGGGTGAAGAACACAGCTGACCCTTTTGAAATGTGAACAACCCTAAACCCTGCTGGACTTTTATGAGGAATTCTTCTGCTCAGCTGGGCTTTATCTCAGCTGCCCATGGGAACAAGATATAAGGAATTTGTCCTGTGGAGTTAAGGGACTTTCAGGAAAGGCCTAACCAGCACTTTCATAAGTGCTCAGTAAATGCTTGTTCCATCCAGTTTGCATTTCTTATAGGCTAGTACCAGTGTCATCTCTCCATGGGCTCTCCTTGGAAGTTTTCATCTCCCATTGCTGGTCCTTCATGCTCAAGGAAATGAGGAGGGAGAGACAGAGGGCAACAGGGGTAGGGCTGTCTTTGGAGGAAATTGTTGTCAATAATTTCAATCTTTTTAGTCAAATTTTGCAAAACTCTTAGATCCTTTGGATGAGAATCTGCAGGGACAGCTAAGAATTGCTTATCCCCATTCTTCCTTTCTTGATTTCAGATGTTTGTGGGCCTCCTGTTTTGGTTCCAGTTTTACTGTGGCTTCTCAGCATCTGCCATGATTGACCAATGGTATCTGATCTTCTTTAACCTGCTCTTCTCGTCACTTCCCCAGCTTGTGACTGGGGTGTTGGACAAGGATGTGCCAGCTGATGTGCTGCTGACTGAACCACAGCTCTACAAGAGTGGTCAGAACATGGAGGTGAGGTTCTCCTCCTGTACCCACTTCCTATCTCTTGACCGTCCCACCCTCCATGTTCACTTTACAGAAAGTGGAAGTCTCCACACCTCCCTTTAAATGGACACCCTGGGAGAAATTGTTAGAATTTTGGAAAATGACCAGTGGGAGGTGAAAAATGGATTCTGTCTACTTGATTGTCCTGTGCATTAAGTAGAGCAAGGTTATTGGTTGGAGTGATGATATACTGTATACTGGTATATGCATATGTCCAAACCCATCAAGATGTGTACATTAAATACGTGCAGCTTTTGTGTATCAATTTACCTCAATAAAGCTTAGAAAAGAAAAAAAGAGGGAGCTTTAAAGAAAAAATATAGTGAGGTGAAAACTGTATCTACACTATGAATCCCCAAGAGCTCAAGGAAAATCCACTTGGAATTGAAATCAGGGCCAGGTGGCTAGCTCCTGAGCAGGGATTTTTCTAGTTTCTTTTTTTTCTTTGCTTTTCTTTTTTTTTTCTTTTTCTTCTTCTTCTTCTTCTTTTTTTTTTTTTTTGATTTTTTTTTAACATTTATTTATTTTTGAGAGATAGAGACAGAGCACAAGCAGGGGATGGGCAGAGAGAGAGATACAGAATCTGAAGCAGGCTCCAGGCTCTGAGCTGTCAGCACAGAGCCGGATGCAGGGCTCGAACAACAAACCATGAGATTGTGACCTAAGTCAAAGTCAGATGCTTAACCCACTCAACCACCCACATGTCCCAGAGGAGGGCTTTTTCTAAAACAACCTCTTATGCCCCACCCACAGTGTGATTTATTTTGAATGGGACTTAACCAGAAGATAAACCCATGGAGAAAACATTGAGAGAATAAGTGAATGCAAACAGATATAAATACATGTTTACATCACATAGATTGACATGCTAATTACCAGTTAGTCTACCACCATTTAAAGTAGGCCTTCTAAGTGTTTCTCCTTGCTAGTTGGAATCATCATATGTATGACAGTGGAATAGACCTCCCTATCTCTTACAACAGTGTCTAATTGAAAATTTGTTTACTTTTGAGTTCACTTCCCCTGATCACCCTCATTGACACTGAGTTCCCCTTGAGGCAGGTCCGGGGGAGGGAGAGATGGGGGTTGGGCTGCAGGGTAGGGGCTACTAAGGGTTTGGCTGATAAGGAGGGCCTCTGATTGTTACCTGTCAGTGTGGAAATTCCTGCGCTCAGCTGGGCCTCCTATCCTCAGCTTGTGGGCTGAGGCTAGCCTAGGGAACCAGACACAGGACATTTGTCCTGTGAAGCTAGGGAACTGAAGGAAGGGCCTAGCCAGCACTTTCTTAATTGCTCAGTAAATGCCCATTCAGTCCAATCTACATTTCCTGCAGGCCAGTACCAGCCCCAGTTGCTCAGGAACTCAGAGTCCAGTACACATTTTGTTCCCCAGTTAATGAAGGCTTGATTAGTCCATATCAAGGTCATTTTTGCCATCAGTGTACAGCTTTTTTATTTTAACATTAAATATACCCATAATCTAATTTTTAAAAACTCACTTTTCAGAAACATTTTAGGAGACCCACCAACAGAGGGTGCAAAATCCTTACAGAGTAGGAGTAGAGGGACTCAAATTGGAGCAAGATGTCCAGAATTTGAGCTGCTATGTCTACCCTAGGAAAATGCTCCCCACAGGCTTTAGAAAGTGGTTTTATCTGTCTACTGTAGGCCTAGAACTACTGTAGCTGGTCTTATGTACGATGCTCTCAGTGATCAACTCAGCTGGATGCCTCTGCAGACACTTGTGTTGTGTTTTTTCCTCAGGCCTCTGGGACTTCATGCACTGAAAGTCCTGAATTAGCAAGTTGCCCTAAGGTGCTTATCTTGTGCATTAATGGCCCTGTAGCTACTGGAAAACATCATTTGAAGAGATGTACACTTCCCTGTAATCTTGCTTATTTTTGTGTCTCAGGAATATCGGCCACGCACGTTCTGGTTAAACATGGCTGATGCTGCCTTCCAGAGCCTGGTGTGCTTTTTCATTCCTTACCTGGTAAGTTGGCACCTGGCACAGTCTTTCTTATCAGCTTCATCCAGTGAACCACAGACACAGGATACTGCTGTCTTTCAGGCCTACTATGATTCGGACACAGATGTGTTTACCTGGGGGACCCCCATCACGGCAATCGCGCTGTTCACCTTCCTCCTGCACCTTGGTATTGAAACCAAGACCTGGGTAAGTGCTTTGAGTATGATCCCAAGGGGTACTGATGCTGCAGGCTCCACACTCCCAGGCAGATTCCATGACTTCTAGAAGGTTTCTGAGCAGACAGGTTACTGCAATGTTAGCCTCACTGTGGAGAAGGAAAATAAATACATGGGCCTGACATATGTATGGAGCCCCTAGTGTGGGTACTGTTGCAGCCTGACACAAACACTTTACCTGGGCAATATTAAACTCCTTCCTGCCCTCTCTCCCTTCCTCCTCCACCTCATGCCCGCCCCCCCCCTTTCCCTCTCTCCATTCCTTCATATCCCTGACTTCCATCTCCCTATGTCCAGGCTGGTCCATCAATGCTGAAGACTTCATCAAGGCCTCCTGGCTGCCTGTGCCAAAGACCTGTGGTTTTACTAAGCCCTTAGAAAAGCCACACTCTCACGGACGACTAGTGCATTTTTATTGAAATAAAAGTCCTATCTTTCTCTTTTCCTCTTAGACCTGGCTCAACTGGATAGCTTGTGGCTTCAGTATCCTTTTATTTTTCACTGTGGCTTTGATTTACAATGCTTCTTGTGCAACGTGTTATCCTCCGTCCAACCCTTATTGGACTATGCAAACATTACTGGGTGACCCCGTGTTTTACTTGACTTGTCTCATAGCACCTGTTGCTGCACTGCTTCCCAGGTGGGTATCAGGGACTGTGTCCCTCGAGTTCTAAGTGAGCTCTGAGAGCATTCTCAGGCCTATGTTTTTGCAATGTACAGGTTTCAGAAAACTCAAAGGCACTACCCACAGATGACTGTTTTTTACATGCTCTTTCCAGATTGTTTTTCAAAGCCGTGCAGGGGAGCCTTTTCCCCACCCAACTTCAGCTGGGACGCCAGCTGGCCAAGAGGCCCCCTAAGAAAGTCATTGCTCCCAAAGAGACCTTTGCTCAAGGACACCTTCCAGGAGAACCCAGAACTGAATCGTCTGAACAGAGGAGCATCAGTACCTCTGGATCCCTCTCCCAGGACTGCACCTCACAGGCATCTTGGCATATGCAGCGGCCAGCCTGCTCTCCAGAAGCTCGTGGGGAGCCCAATGTGGTGGACATGAACGTGCCTGTAAGGGAGGACATTCTGCTAGAAGGGCTGAGCAGTCAGGCTCCGGGGTCCTCCATGCCAAGGGAGGCTATCCTGGAAGGGTGTCCTGGGGACTCCAAGATGAAACCCACCAGCACCAGTAGGGCAGCCCCCCTGTCGTCCATTTTTAGCCTGCCCAACTTCAGCTCATTCAACTGGATTTCCCCCTTCTCACTGGTCAATGGGCTAGGAAGTGTCTTACAGTTTTCTCGAAGTAGTTTACAGATGGACAAGAGGGATAGCGAGTTCTTGCCTAGCCCGCCTCAGCCAGACCAGGATCTTTGTGGCTTAAGTGGGCAGACCACCAACTACTTCTAGGAGCATCTTCCAGGGACTGCATCTGATGGCAGTAGCAGTGAAAACCTTGAAATAGCCTCTTTTTTATATAACTTAGATGTTAATATTATTTATGTTTATTATTTGCACAGAAGAGTTCTAGTGAGATGTATTTTATGTTTCCAGGGCTAACACAGGAAATAAAAGGTACCAAAAAGAAAATTTATTTTTTAAAACTTCTAAGTAGAATATATTGAAAAGGAAAATAAGAGCTTTAACGTATATAAAAGTTTAAAGAAAAGAAACACTTGAAAAGTGTGCTTAGATTTATTTTTTCATCTCATTTTATAAGAAAATGCAATATAATTGATTTTCTTCAACATGCATGACCTTGGTTTTCCCCACTTAAAAATGTGTGTGTGAGCTCAGTAAATCTCGGGTGGGTATGGACAGTAGTGATGGGAGAAGATGGGACAAGTATGCAGCATCTCTGTCTTTGTCCCCTGTTCCCTTGCTCTGCCTCTGCCAACCTGGGGGAGCTGGGCTTCACTTCACCCAGAAAAGGGAAAGAGAGAATGTGTGTGTGGAGTTCATCCCAACATTGAAGTCTACTCAGGCATTCTGTAAAGATCACTTTATAGGTATTGTAGGTATTACAGTCCCTATGTAGGGTCTTGCCTGTCAAAATCAAAACAAACAATAAACAACTTTCACTTTGCAAAGAGAACCTGTCCTGTTGTCACTATTGTGTGAAGTTATTAATATGTGACCTAACAGCATGTTCTGAGTACCACAGGGCACTTCCTCATGGCAAGTCCTTTTAGACACTATGCAGAAAACAGTGGGGTGCCATGCAAGCTCCACATTGTAACACTGGGACACTAGGTTTACACCATGGCTCCCTGCACCAGGCTAGCAGCCCCCACCAGACCCTTCCTGCCAAAAGACTAGGCTTTTTAAGTGTGTATCTCTAGGCATTTATCTTACAATTCATTATTTCTGTTCCTCAAAACAGTGGGGAGAGGAGGAAAAGAATTTAAATATCCAAGGCAATTAATGATATAGCATTTCCTCTTCAGAGACTTCTCTTTGCACTTTGTCATCAGTTGTGAGTCAGGTGTTCTGCTCAGCCTGGGGATGTGAAGTGAGCATTGTGTGCCCCTTGCTTAGGTGTCTTCTGGCTACCTGTCCCCAAGAACAGCAAGGTATAATGGGTGGAGGATCTCAGGAGCAAGCAGTTCCAGAGCACAGCATACAGGGAAGAATGGTTAGTTACCCATTGTGTGTGGCTCATTGAACAAGACAGAAGATGCATCCCATCTGGTTAGGTAGAATGGGAAAAGCAGGGCTCAGTGCCTACAAGGCCAATGACACAGTGGGCTTTAGTACCATTTAACTCAGCAACTCAGACCTGGGGCTTTACCCCATTCTTCCTGCCCTGAGCTTTCTGAGGTCAGTTTTGTCCTAAGGCTGACTCTGTTCTTAGTGATGACATGGCTGGAGCCACCCAATTGTCCAGAGGAAAGGCTGTTGATCTCCACGTTCTAAGCAGAGTTCTGGGTTTCTTCAGGTCAAGCTGCACAGGTTGCAGTTGCTGGCAAATTAAGGGGAATGACTGGAGCTTCTGGCTAGAGCTGGAAGAGAGGTGAGCTTCCCTCCAAGAACCTGAGCAGCATGAGTCAATGCTCAGAGGAATATCCGGGTCCTGTTAGAGCAGATAAAGAGGAGGAGTGGAAAGGGCTTCAGCAGCCAGCAGAACAAGTGATGCTGTCTCATCCCTCGCCCTGTGTGCTTCATCTGTTCTTGGAGCAACATGTACAAAAAGAACTTAGTTAGCACAACACTGTGCTTTCCTGAATTATGGTAGTGGTTGCTAGCACAAAGTACAAGAAGAGCTGGGGCACCTGGGTGACTGTCAGTTAAGCGTCCAACCTCAGTTCAGGTAATGATCTCATGGTCTGTGGGTTCGAGCCCCGCATTGGGCTCTTGCTGACATGTCAGAGCCTGGAGCCTGCTTCAGATTCTGTGTCTCCCTCTCTCTCTGCCCCTCCCCCACTTGCTCTCTGTCTCTGTCTCTCAAAATAAAGACATAAAAATTTGGGGGAAAAAAGTACAAGAAGAACTATATGCACATTTCCCTGAGTATCAGAGTTCAGAATGCTCCAGCTTCCAGATATTTCCTGCACTCACAATTAACCTTCTTTTTCAAGGACTTCTCTCCTCCATTTTCATCTTGGAAAATGGTATGATCAGGAAGTGGCTTTGGGAATATGCATACCAAAACCATTTCAAAGAAATAAACATTGTAAAGGGCATTGTCCACTGCTCTATAGTATATGAATATTCATAGAAGCCTACAATAATCATCCATTACAAGCAAGTTTGATCTCAAAATTAACCTCATATGGAGATGAACTTCATGATTATCTCAAAAAAGCACTGGGAAATACATGTCACCCAATCCTAATTAGAAATCTAAATTAAATAAGAAATCTGGCCAAAATGGCAAGATTCATTATTTGACATTATACAGAATGCCTATTTCAAACCCTAAATCAGTTTTAAGTTCTTGGAGGCCAGGTCTTATGTCTGATGAACCTAATAAATGTTAATAGTGAAAACACTAAGGCATTCTTGTTAAAATCAGATAAAGAAAAGTTGCTTGTTATATTGCATTATTATTTAATATTTTCTGGAATTTCTGGATGATGCAATAAGACATGAAGTTTTGAGAAGAATGGGTATTGGAATTAGAGACCATATTATCATTACTTACACATGATATGGTTATATGCCTTAAAAAATCTGAATTAAGTGGCTCTCAGAGCTAAGAAGAGCAAGTAATAAATTGTGAGGAAAACAAACCAGCTTTCCTATAGAGCATAATGGGAGAAGGAAAAGATCTAAGTCACCAACACTAAGAAAAATTCAAATACCAGGGGAGGGGCCAAAGTGGCAGAACAGCATAGAATTTTTTTTTTTTTTTTTTGCCTCTGTCATCCCTGAAATGCAGCTAGATCAACCCCAAACTATCTTGCACACTTAGGTAACTGATCTGAGGATTAACACAACAATCTGTACAACTTGAACCACAGAACTTGGCAGGTACATGGTGCAGAAAGGAGAACTGGGAGAGAGAGAAGACACAGAGGGTAGGAAGCTATTTTGGCTGGCGGAGAGAGGACAAAGACAGGGGGGAAAGTACAGGAAAAGCACTCCCCCTTAAAGCAGCTGGAATGGAAGAGTGAAAACACCCATAAGGGACTTAACAATATAGGGAGAAAGGAAAAAGGAGAGGGTTTAAATACCATTAAGTCTGTATAAACAGGGGAGTGCAGAATCTGAAACTCCATAGCTCGATACCTGGCAGAGCTCTGGTGGGAAGGGTGAATTCCCAGGAGCACACAGTGAGGTCCAAGGGGTCCTCAGGCCACACAGTTAGGGGCGGTTCTCCTGCTGAGAGGACATTTGGTAGAAGCTATGCTGCAGTCTCCCTAAAGGCAAAGGTCTCAACAGTCCTGGAGAATAGCCACAATTGCTGGTGTCGGAATAAGGACATTAAGGGTGAAGCCTGGTCCAGATATGTGTTGTGATTTACCATAATCCCTGAAACGCTGCTGCTACACAATCCCATGAACTTTTTCTGGGACGAGCTGCACCCGGCCATAGTCTCTGTGTATCTCCAGCAGCATGGTTGTGCAAACATTCCTGGGGTTGGGCTGGCACCCAGCCATTGTTTGGCAAGACTCTCCCTCAGAGTGTCTGAGTGGGTCAAAGCCATAGGGCCCACAGAAGTTAGGGGTTAGGAAAGACAGCCCTATTTGGAGATAAAAAGGGAGTTGCAGCCTGACAGGCTAATGGTTTGGTCACAGTGTAGAAGTGGGAGTGGTTGGAAGCCAGAGAGAAAGAGGGGTTCTTGATTGCCTGTGGGCAAGAGCATAGAGTTCTGACACTAGAGACTGGGTAGCTGGATGATGACATTTTCATCCCTCTCACACATACACATACACATGTACATGTGCCACAACAATCGATACCAGTAAACTAAGTGGAGAACTGAACCCTAACCCCCATCCAACTGCACCAACGACGAAGAGGAAAGCCAAAAGTCTCTCCACCTGCTTGGTTTACAGACTATAAAGTGCTCCATAGTTTGAATTCAAGGGAAACTAGATGTTTCATCTTCCCAGATTTTAGCCTCTACTAAAAAGCTGCCATCATCAAGACAGTATGGTATTGGCACAAAAACAGACACATAGACCAATGGAACAGAATTGAGAACTCAGAAGTGGACCCAAAAGCATACAGCCAACTAATCTTTGACAAAGCAGGAAACAGTATCCAAAGGAAAAAAGACAGCCTCGTTAACAGATGGTGCTGGGAAAACTGGACAGCAACATGCAGAACAATGAAACTAGATCATTTTCTCACACCATACACAAAAATAAACTCAAAATGGATAAAGGACCTGAACGCATGACAGGAAACCATCAAAACTCTAGAGGAGAAAGCAGGAAACAACCCCCTTGACCTCAACTGCAGCAATTTCTTACTTGACACATCCCCAAAAGCAAGGGAATCAAGAGGAAAAAGGAACTATTGGGACCTCATCAAGATTAAAAGCTTCTGGGGGCGGCTGGGTGGCTTGGTCGGTTGAGCGTCCGACTTTCGCTTGGGTCATGATCTCGCGGTTCGTGGGTTCGAGCCCCGCGTCGGGCTCTGTGCTGGCTGCCAGCTCAGAGCCTGGAGCCTGTTTCAGCCTGTGGCTCCCTCTCTCTCTGACCCTCCCCTGCTCACGCTGTCTCTCTCTCTCTCCTGGAAATAAATAAAAAC